AAGGATATCTATATATTATGGAGTTCTTATTGATACTAACCTTGATTGAGATCAAGTATTTTGATAACGTGCCAAGTGATTTGGACATTATATTGCAAACATTTTATATAGGTAACATATTTTTTTAACTTTCTAGAATGATAGTAGAGCGGGACGTTTTCAAAAAAATTCCAGAGTTTGTGGATAAAAGACAGCGGATATTTTGCGTATAGAATGAAAGATAAGTTTCTTTTTCATACCTACCTAGTAGTACGCACTTACGCATTTACAGAGAGACAATTTAAAATTTGCAATTCACCATAACTTTACAAACCAGGAAACCTTTAGAAAAAGCGTCGGCAATATCCGTTGCGGGGAAACTGCAACAATTATAATGCAATAATTGATCCCATGCAGCTAATAAAGGTACCTATAGTTGTACCCTTTTGCTTTCATCAATTCCAAAAAAAAAAATGGCATAAGTTTCGCGGGTCAACTGGAACTCTCTTTACTAACAACAACCACTTTCATGAAACCTATTTACTTTACAAAATTCACTAGTCACTAATCGCTTTTATTCAACTTTCTACAATTATTTTAAATAAATGACTGCAACTTAGGAACTACGCGCTTTTTATGCAAAACCATTCAACCGAGAAATTTCTCTATAGTTCCTGAATATTCTCGCACTTCTCGTGCATAGATTTCGTAACACTGCCTTCCTCTCAAATCAAATCGTCCCGATTCGACCATTTACTCTTGTCATAGGCCTTCAACCTGTCTGTCAAGATAGACCACCTGCATCTGACCTTTGCTTTGGGTCGCGTTGGATTCGTTGACTGTCTTTATCGTCTACTAGTATTAGCTTCGGGATCTACCTTTCTTGTTTTGAGGATAATAATGCCAAAATCCATCATTCTTCCGAAAGCCTGCAGAGTTTGCCTCAAGATCATATATAATCTCGTTTTCATTCAGTCACTATCAAACTCTGTCGCTGTCTAACTATTTCATGGTGGGCCAGGCATCCTTCGCCGCAAAGGGCAGAATTTCCATCGACATGTCAACGACATCTGGACTGGACCGGGTGGCCGACTGAACTTTGCCCGAACCCAAAAACAGTATGTAACTCCTGTTGTATTAATGTGTGCTGCTGACCGGTATGCCTCATGCTTATCAACTACTCTAGAAAGGGTTGTCATTTTCGCGCCAATTATTAAGGGTGACTTTCCTGAGAAATTATTCCAAATTTTTCCCAAGATTTTTCCTTTCTGGTAAAAACCGGAAATCTGATGGTAAAGCGTGCTCAGTCGCAGCAAATCAGGATTTCTACAAAAAATACTTTATCAAGTTTTGCAATTTGGTTCACAGGTTCTTTGAGGTGGCCGATCAATACAAATACAATATACAGGGTAGGGTGTTCATTTTGAAACTTACCACCCCTATTATCTCGGAATTGAAAAATTTTCGAATAAATTCCTGAAACACGTCAACTTTAATTTGAGGAGGGATGAGTTTTTATGCAAAATTCACCTACTCCTTTTCAACCCCCCAGGCCCCAGAGCCACCTCCTAGAAAATCTTAAATGGGAGTGATAAATCATTTTGGAGGGTTTCTAATTCCATAAATTTTGGTACTAAATTTTAATCCCCTAGTTCAACTGTTTTGGAAATATTGACAGTTGGAAATTGACATTTTTGCTACTTTGACAGGCTGTAAAACTTAAACAGTTAATTTTCGAGCAAAGCCGATTTCACATTCTTATCCTAGATTTTCATAAAATATCATTTGACGCAAACTTTAACCGGAGATTAAATTTTTAACCGGAATTTTTGATCATGGATTAAATTCAAAGTTGGTGTCAAATGATGTTTATGAAAATCTAAAATAAAAATGTAAGATCGGCTTTCCTCGAAAATCAACCGGCTGGAGGCTGGGGAGTTGAAAGGGGGGAGGTGAATTTTGCATAGGAACTCAATCCCCCCTCCAATTATAGTTGACGTATTCCAGGGATTTTTCCGAAATTTTTTCAACTCTGAGATAATAAGGGTGGTAAGTTTTAAAATGAACACCCTGTATATATCCAAAACGTACCTACAACGAATACACTCCACCTGCCACAGAGTAGAAAAATTAGGTTCCATAAGATAATTATATAACAAAGAGCAATCAAAAGAAGAATATTGGGCATCAAATTTGAAGACAGAAAGACAAATCACTGAATAAGAAGCAGGACAAAGGTACAGAAAGCTGCAGAAAGGATATGCAATATGCATAGATATGGTGGAAGAAGTGTGGGAAGACTGATACAAGAGAGGTACGACGATATAAAATTGACAGAGTAGAAAAGACCTATGGATGTTGATGATGTTCACTTTGTTTAAAGCTTTAAGCGAGTTGCGGAACTTTTTCTTATAGTGAAGCAATTGTTCATGAGCTGTCTCTTCATCAGACTTGTTCACTCTAGGAGAGCATGAAAATTAACATACCGGTACAACTATTACAATGAAAATCAGTAATAATATTTTCAATAATACTGGTTATTGTGAGTAGTGTTAAATAATGAAAAACACTCTATTACCTACCTATTTATTTTCTTATATGATATTTCTGGTTTCAGATTTTTATTTTTTTATTTTAATTATTGATGAAATTAAAAAAATCATTTATTCAATTTCCAGTGGACCCTGCTCACAGTAGCGAAACACGGCAACAAAAAAGAAGTATATATCTCTACAGGGTGTTTCACGAACATCGAAACAGAGGCGTTTTAGGGTGTTTTAAGGTCGATTTTAAAAAAACGCTCGGACACGTCATTTTTTTTATTCAAGGGGGAAACTTTTTGACCCCATCGGTATTTCGCTAGGGTGCACCCCCTGGGTGAGGTGACTTTCACCCCTCTTTTTTAGATAGGGAAGATGGGTCGAGTGGTACCTTGTTTTAAAGGTATTTTGATTCTCGTGACCACTGCGTATTTTTTTCGAAAATCGAATGATTATTTCTCAAGATATTCACTGTCAAAGTTGCCATGGGCTAAATAAGAAAAAAAAAAGTGTGCAGTTCGCACGCAGTAGAAGTGAAACCCTCATCGAACTGCATGCATTACACACATACTAACATACACAGTGGCGCCCCCCCCCGCCAAAAGACTTGAGAAAGAACGCAATTAAACATAGTTTAAAAAAACTGGGGTGCTCAATGTACGAGAAATGTGGAACAAAGCACCCCACGCTTTTTTCACAATAATTCTAATATTTTTTGTTCATTAATATTTTCTGTTTATATTAAAAATTATTTTTCACTTTTTAGTTCAATTTACTATAAAAGCGTGTTTTTTAGTTTTTTTAAACTATATTTATTTTTCACTTTTTAGTACGATGTATTATAAAAGCGTGTCAGCCCCAGAGATTTCCAGACTTTTCCAGACATTATCTAGACTTATTCAGAGCTTTCCAGAGTTTTCCAGATTTCATCCAGATTTATCCCGACTTGTACATACTGATCTGGATTCTGGAAAATGATCCCCAGGTCTTTTGGGACCTTTACCAGAATTTTTCCGACTCTTTCAAGAAATTTCCAGGCCCTTTCCAGACGTTTCCAGACTTCTCCAGACAATATCCAGACTTATCCAGAGTTTTCCAGAGTTTTACAAACTTTATCCAGACTTGTACAGACTGATCCGGATTCTGGAAAATGATCCCCAGGTCTTTTGGGACCTTTGGCCAGAATTTTTCCGACCCTTTCCAGAAATTTCCAGGCTCTTTCCAGACGTTTCCAGAGATTTCCAGACTTCATCTAGATTTATCCAGACTTGTTCCAGGTTCTTGTTGTGTGTTGTGTGTTAATATAAGCGTGTTAAAAAAGTGTCACTTTTTCGTTTCATCAAGTCGCTTTTTCGTTTCATTGAGTCTCAAATCACTCCCAACGATTCTAAAGAAGTTTTCACTTGAAAAATTCTGGACCTGATATTCTCAAATCAACCCTTTCCTGACTTTCCTCTCGGACGCGTCAATTTTCATTTTTCCAGAAGCACACAAAAAATAAAAATTGAAGAGGAAAGTCAGGAAAGTGTTAATTTGAGAATAACAGGGCCAGAAGATTGTTTCTTATTTAGCCCATGGCAACTTTGCAAGTGAATATCTTAAGAAATAATCATTGGATTTTTAAAAAAAAATACGGAGTTGTGACGGGAATCAAAATACCTTTGAAACAAGGTACCACTCGACCCATCTTCCCTATCTTAAAAATTGGGGCAAAAGTCACCAACTATGGTGGTTGAATACAAAAACGACGTGTCCGAGCATTTTTTTTAAATCGACCTTAAAATATCTCAAAACGCCTCTGTTTCGATGTTCGTGAAACACACTGTATATTATGTCAACAGAAATAGAAATATTTTGAAGTTTCCTAAATTAAAAATTATATATTTTTAGTAGGTACATCAAAAACTATTTTTTTTTAATGCCTCCTGTAACCCCAAACTAACAGGTAGTTCGAATCTAGTAAGCAGTGTTCGACCTTTTTTCGGTGCTACCAAAGCATATCCTAAAAATAACATTAAAAAGCAGAACCAGATTTGTTTCATATAGATACTACCAATGTATGGTATCTATAACCTATCTAGAATAATTTTCAATTGAGCGTTCATTTTCTTCCAGGAAAAGAAGACAAAGTACCGTAAAACCATTATTTTCATTCAAATCCTCAATCTTTTGACAACCAATTATTTCTATATTTTTGAAGTTTGTAGATATAGATAACTTCCTGCATCCTGTTTAGGATTAAAATAAAATAAAAACACTAAAAACATTGATCTACATAACAAATAAAATTTTAGGTAACAATTTATTTTGTGAATCAATTAGAAGAAAAAAAAATTACTTCAACATAAATCATGCTGCTTTCCTGATCTAATTAAGTTATCTGGATTACATCAATGCCTCATGCATATTGTGTAAGCTGTATAGTGTATTATGTATAAAATAATTTAAAAGGTGTTATAAATAAAGGAAAAAACATAATTTTTGAGTAAAGTTGTTTATTTGAGACAAAAATATAGGGTCATCACAATGATAATACTATAAAGGAGTGTATGTGAAATTTGTGAAAATAAAATAAAATTGTAAATGGCATTTTAGAGAAGAATAAGAGAAAATCGATTTCCTCTCAGAAATCTCTTTTAAGGGCATGTAAAGGTACTGTCATTTTTTTGTTGATTTAGAACCCTAGTACTTACTGGCTAAAATATATTCAAACCACATTCACATGCGTACTGTTTTTTCAAAAATAAATAGAACACATTCAAGCAGAACTAGTTAGATAAGTTACCTAAATTAAAGGAATTAAAAATATAGTTGTACGGTGTTCGGGCTACCAAGAGTTTTTGTCTAGAACATACAATATCAATAATAAATGTCTGTCTGTTTGGGGTGGATTTATAATACTAACTGACATTTTTTGCGTCTTATCTCTGATAATTTTGCTTAAATGCTCAATGGAGATGTTCACCAGGTAAAAATTAGGGGCAATGAATATATAGGAAAAATCTAATTGCATTAAAAAATGCTCATCACAGTTAACTTTTAGAATCGATCACCTTGAGTTTTTTTTATGAGAAACTTCAGATAAAAAGGATAGTCTATTTGATGAATATTATCAAGGCAAAGAATTTGAAGAACTTCTCAACTTCAAGCAAGATAAGCAAAAAAATCAAGAGCTTTGTTCTTAGAATTAGACGCTAGTATATCGAAAGCTACCCAACTTTCTCCTGTAACTCCACAGAAATTAGAAGTTGAAAAATCTTTACAGAAGCCGAAACTGCAGAATATGAAATTTAAAAATGTCAGGTAGCATTATACAATTTCAATCCAATCAACTTTCAGATTGTTTAAAATCAATGTATGCTTTAAGACACTATTTTACATCTGCTTAACATACATAAATAAAAAATAATACTTATCAGTTAAATAATAAAAACTGGTCCAATAAGTAGCTATAAATTTAATGTAGACTAATTATTAGATTTTTCATTTAAATTTCAACCGATTCATTGTTTCAGACAAATAAACACTAAAAACTCAAATAATAAAACAATTTATGCAAATCCGCTCACTAACAATATAAAAATATAGTCTACATTTAAAATAAAGAGAATCTCTAAGGAACAAAGAGTCCCTTCTACTAATCTACAGAAAGGACAAAAGACAAATAAAAACAAAAAAGATAATACCTCTTTAAATAATATCACAAGATACAAAACTTAAAAGTATAATGCTTCCTCTAATAGGTCAAAACTTAACACAGGAACCAAGAATTTAAAAACGTTTATATACAAGAGCCGCCTAGTTTGATACAGAGCTGGGCAGACCACTGTACTAGTTAACTTATGAGTATTTTTATGATCTGTATGCCAAAAATTATACAAATATGAGTACGCTTAGAGACCTTACAAACACAAACCGCACTTTTAAAAATTTCGGTACACCAAGGGTCATTTTCTGTAATGGTTACATTGGTTACTCAATTTACTGCCCAGCTCTCAGGTATGTATCAACGTGAAAAAAAAAAAAAAAACAAAAACTGTCAGCACTAATCAGATAGGTACTTGAAAAGCAAATCACTATTTATTTTTAGGGTATCTAATTGGCTTCGACTTATTTCTGATTCATATTTAAACATTTGAAAAGCATGCCCAGATTTCAAAATACGGTCCAAGTAACAATTGGATTTGAGCTCGAATTAAGAATAGATTGTCAAGTAAACAGAGCTACAGTCTCGTGCGTATTAACTTTTTCTGTTTACTAATAGGAATTTAACAGCATTTCAATTAAATCTGGCTAATATAAAAAATAAAATCGTAGCTGCTCTTTTTTTTTACAAATAGGGAATACATTATGTTACTGACAATCTTATTTCAATAAATATACTTTTTGTCACAAAGGCTTTTCTAGGTCATCCAGACAATCACTATATATTTAAAAATATATAAAATATTTGGTTTGATTTTCTATGTCTTTGCTTTTCCGTCCATAGACGCGTTTCGACCTATCAGGTCTCATCAGTATGGCTAGGAAAAGCAAAGAAAACCAAACAAATTTTCGTGCCTGTAGGCAATATATACATAGTACAACGGTCGAAATTTGATCGTGGCGCCATTGGTCGGCCAATTAGATACTCAGTCACTATATTGCAGCAAAAATTGCTGCTTGGTGTTGAAGTTTTGTCTTAGATGGCGCCACGATCAAATTTCGACCGTTGTACTAAAAATATATATACATATAAAGTATGGAAAAAGGCTTTTACAATATAATTTGCACACATGCAGAAGTTTTTGAATGTCTTTTTAAAAAATGTGAATTAATTAGCGTATATCGGACACACATATTTATTAAAATGTTTGTTGCAACTCGGATGTAAAGATCAGATTTTTTGAATTCAACAGGCACTTCACTGACACATAATGTAATACAAATGTTTCACACTTTCAGTATTCTGAGGAAAAGGCAACCTAACATTATTAAATCAACCACCAAAAAAAAATGGTGCGGGCTTAAGATCACATGACAGAAGTGAAAACTCCAATAAGGTGAGATTATTAGTATGAAATACAGGTATTTTTTTGTGTTTTATATTCACTGCCTAGATTGATCTCGCAGCCGTTCTAGGTCTCGCAGATCCAGATAAGCATCCAGGAAGAGCAGACCTCGTTCTCTCGGAATAATAGAGAGAAGAGGCGCACCAGGTCTCGTTCTCGTTCCTGAGGCTGTTCCGTACCCAAAGAAAACGAAAAGGTAAACAGTAAAAGACAAGAAGAGTTGAAGCAAGAGAATGAGGACCAAAGCAATCAAGTACTGTAATTTAGAGTTTATAAGATTTTATTTTGACTTGTTCTTAAAACGTTTGAAACAATCATTCACATAATTTACTAGGTGTAGGAACTAAATTGCACAACAATTCTTCGTGTACTTGTATCTTGTGTGTTGCTGGTGTTAATCAAACAGACATTTATTCATCTTGCATTTTTATCTAATGTTAATATGTTAAGTTACACTATATTTCCACTGCTCTATCCACTGAATGACAATAATTAAAATAACATAAATGAATAAATACATTTTGGTGTCAACATTTTCAATTTGTTTGCTGAAATGGGCAATAAAAAAAAAATGTAGATTTGCAAGATTCATGGCGAATGCCCTGTTATTTTTTGTGGTATGCAATATTCTTTTCCAGTTTTTGCGGAGGTGGATCCGTTATTGAAGCTTAAATTTCTTTCTTTTTTTAGAAATTCGGAACACAATATTGTAGGTGTGTAGGTATGAAAACTGCGAAGTCGGGAACACACATTACATTCGACACGATATGGTCACGTCAAAAGCTGGCGCGTGCCGTAATGAAATTTTGGTCATCAATTTTACATGTATTTCTATGGACCGGTAGGATATAGCTGCCTCTGAACGCTGACATGACATAACACGCGTGTCTCAGCCTGTAAGCATCCACACTTCTATCGCATGTGTAATGGGTATGATATAGCAATTTTATGCAAAGTTTTGTGTGTTTTTTTCAATTGATTCAAACATAGTGCTGATTGCTTTGGCCTTTGAATATTTTCTCACACCATGATAAACTATTCTTTTCCATTACTGTTTCCCTTTCCGTTTTCTTTGGGTGCGGAACCGCCTTGGGAACGAGGACTAGACCTGGACCGAGGTCTGCTCTTCTTGGATGCTGATCTGGATCTGCGAGACCTGGAACGGCTGCGAGATCTGGAGTTGCTGCGAAATCCAGAGCGACGGTCACCAGAACGGTTTATTGCATACTACAGAAAAAACAAAAAAAAAAAAACAGAACAATTGGCACGAGAATTGGCATGAACAACCCTTGAAATTCTGCATTATTTTTTTTTATGGTCATTTTGGCAAAAACATTGGAAATGTTCGCATCAAAATGTATTTATTTATTTTATTTTTATTGTTAACACTTCTGGACAACTGTTAATATTTTCCTGTAATTTACTAAAGGTTAGGGGGTAGATCAACAACGGGTGGGCCTATTACGGCCCTAGACTGCGACTCATTAATGTATTGTCGCTATCTACTAGACAAACATTTTATAAACTCATCAAAAAGCCATTTTCTAAATCTACCGTATATGGCAGCTCCATAAGTTTTACCACGTGCTGTTTATGAAATAATAATATTGCAGTAATATAAAATGTTACTTTTTTAGCAATTTGTATTGTATTTTGGCGCATTCTCTTGATTATTGCTAGTTTAATCTTGTGTGGAAGTTTTATTGTATTGAAAATTAACATATTATTAGAGAAAAATAGAATATTATGTAATACATGCCTGTTTGATTGGCAGCAGCAGCATACAGGCACACACAAGAAAAGGTTAATAAACTCAATATCTTCATTTTACACTAAGCATTCATACTCGAATGACCATAAAATTAAAACAATAATGTGAAGGTGTATTTTATTGACCACAGAAATCTTAAATGTCCTTGACCATGTTTGCAAGGTGAGTTATATACCTATACAAGGGAAAATTGAATAGTATAACTTTGGCCAAAAGCCATAATAATTGCGGATTTTTTTTAGAAAACAAACGGATGAAACATAATTACAAAGGATGGAACCGAAAAACAAATGACCATAATAGAGACGAATACAAAAGAAAATGAAATGATGATGTCAAGACTTGAGTGAATAAAAGAGAGAATATTTTGAGACAAAAATTAATAAACATAGGTCTCCAATTAAAGAATTAAGTGATTTTCAGAATAAAGCTTCTAACTTTTTTTCTAAGCGGAGTGGTTTCTGTTAGTTTTTTCACTCAGGCATAGAAGAAAATATTTGAAACACTGTCGGGGTGGTAGAGATTGTAGGATATTGGATGTTTTAGGTGGAATTTTATGATCAAATGCAAATTGACTTTGTTAGGAACACATGGCACCAAGTTTTCAGCTCTTAGGTATTGAAAATATTTATTTGTTCTTATTTTTTTAGGAATATTTGTCATTCTACAAAGAAGATTCTTATAAGTTGCATTGAAACTCTCCGATATACACATAAATATCCAATAATTTCAATCTTTCAGCAATTTGAGACATTTTACCAGCCAGTGAAGTCCATGATTGAATGCAAAAAATCCCCATAATCAATCAAACTCTAATAAAAAAAAACCCAGAAGGAGAAATATTAGGCTCTTAATTAGGTCAATTTAATAAATTAAGGTTTGAGGTCATATCAGTGCTGCTCAATTTTGGTAACTGCTGATAATGTGAACAGCAAACCAAATCGGTATAGTGCGGAAAGGCAATAATGTTTTGATTTTTATTTTTATAAGCACAATGTATGTACTTGAATATTATGCATTCTTGCATAGTCTGCAGTGCCATGGATAAAAATAGATTTGATTTAAATTTTAAAAAGTCAACCTTCTTGCAAAATATTGTAGAAGCCTTTTAAGAAAATAGGAAAGCCAATTAAACATACCAGCTTTCATTTGGCAAGTTTCAACCGGAAACGATGACTAAATAAATACATAAATAAAAAAAAGAGTGACACAATAGGAAAATATTATTAATTAAAGCTTTTCTTTCGCATACAATACCTTAAAACAAATAAATGTATTTGGTTAGTTATCAATCAATAAAAGTATAATTCAAATATCCAAAAAACCACAGCTGCCCCTGAAGGTTTTGATTAATTGGAAAAAAATCCTTATTGCATCACCCTTTGCTAAAAACTAACTAAACTTTAAGAAAAAGTTAAAGCCTACCAGAAACAGTCAAGAGTTGCAGTATAGCATTTTTAGTCGCCGGGTTCCACTGTTTCGCCTTGATTAACCCGATCATGGTTTGATCTGGGACAGTGAAGCAGGACAGAGAATTCTGCTAAATCGTCGCTGGATCTTCTAGCCGAGTCCCCCGTTCCGCTATCTTTGCAAGAAGATCTCTGCGAAGCGCAGTCTGTAGGAATTTCTGTCAGTTCAGTGCCTGGGAAGGGAGGCGATTCTTTTACGGCAGCGGACTTTCGAGTTTGATAAATAATGGCTACCCATACGCCTGACGTGAATACCGCACAACATGCCACAGTGATTATGATGATTCCTAGCATATTGCCTGTATCAAGAACACCTGGGAAAAAAAATGGGGTTTGAGTGGCAAATAATTTTTTATTTTTTTTTCTTAGGCCTATAGTATTCTGAATGTACTGGCCAGTGTAAAGTAATCAGTAAATAATAATATTAATTTAGCCTTCTTGTTGCTTAATGATGAAAAAGTGATAAAAACACACCAAAATATACTTTTCTTACTTGGCTGCACAACAATCCTGCTCCTACCAATTTCTTCTCCTTGAGAATTATTCAAGTGGCATTCGTATATTCCAGTGTCATTGTGCACGGAGTCCACAATAATTACTAGCTGATTTTCAGCTATAAAGAAGTGTCGTTCAGTTGGTACAATTGCATCTCCATCCTGAAAAGATAGTATTTTATACATGATATACCTTATTGTTTTTTAAGTCTATGTAAGGATGCATATCCCTCAGCATATCCTAATCAAATTAAGTCAATTATTGAATGCTATTTCAAGTGTTTTTATTTATTTTTGCTCTACCTGTTCTAGTATTTGTATTCTGTTTGTGATCCACCTTTTCTATGTTTACCAAATTACGAATATATAATATACCCTTGTATTTAGCATATTTCTACTAAATCCCATGTTTCAACATTTTTGTAATTAAAAGACAAATGAAGTAGAATTACCTTAAACCAAGTCACTGTTGGCTTGGGTACACCTTGAGCCATACACTGCAGCACTATAGGTTCTCCAGCAGCCAATTCCCGATCCTCTGGACCATTAGCAAGCTGGGGCCTTTGTAATACCTTAATATGAAAATAATTATTATTATTGGTAACATTTTACTGTGGGATTCTTACCTGTAAATGCGCGTCAGCTGACGCTGTTCCAGCAGCGTTATGGGCAGTACAACTGTAGACGCCCGCATCACTCAGTCGTGCATTCACAATAAAAAATACATCATCTCCATGTAAAACATGCATACGTCTTTCCCTAGCGGCTGGAAAGTCATTTCCTCCATCTTTGTGCCACGCTACTTCAGGCGGAGGTTCACCTGTAGCTGCACATTCTAATTTGACAGTTTGTCCTGCTTCTACTTCAACATTTTTTGGCTTTTTTATGAATGTGGGAAAAACGAGTACAGAAATAGTAGCTTTCTGGGAATAAGTTGTTCCATAACTGTTACTCACAACGCACTGGTATTTTCCAGCATGTGAATGTTCTACAGCCATTAATTTTAAATCAGAAACTGACTCTACAGATCGACCATCTTGATCTACACTGGATTTGATAACTACATTTGAGTTAAGAAGCTCTATGTTATCTTTTTTCCAAACAAATGTCATGTTACTGCTCGAACTTGATACGGCTTTGCAATTTAAAGTGACATTTTCACCTTTTAGTGCCATTATTTCTGCATCTGGTTCTTCAATCAGTCTGGGTTTTGGAACTTCATCTACAAATGTATTAATTTTTAAATTTCATTTGAATAGCACAATAAAAGGGTGTATCAACTAACCACATGTCAAGTTACTAATGCTTATATTAGATAAAGGCTGACCCTGAAGCCATTGTGGATAAGCACATTTTGCATGTAATTCCATTTGTTTTGTACTAAGCCATTCCAGGAACCATTCTAAATTGCAGTCACATAGCATACTGTTTGAGCTGATAATCAATTGCTAAAAGTATATATGCATCAAAATATTGAAATTAAACCAAGGGTATTTCGCCAAAAAGAAGTATTCAATAATTAAGCCTAAATAATAGAGATGTCACGAAATTTGTCAGTTGCAAAATCTATTATGTAATAATTGCAGTTTGCATCTTTTTTAAGGTGATCGCCCAATGAGGCTAAGCGAAGCGAAGTGTCAGTAGTTATTCGTCAATGACATAAATCAAAAAAGAAATGATTTTGGTGGAAATCTCCAAACTTGGCAAAAAAAACGGTCAGAAGATGAAGAACTACTGATGTCAAGGGACAGTTTGATACTAAAATAAAGTAACACCAATATCTATAGAACAAAATACACTATGTAGCCGCTGCTTCTTCTTTTCAAAATTAATTTCAGATATGAATCTTAGTTTAGAGATTAACTGGAAAAAGCCTCGGAAAAAACTTAAGCTTAGGGGCACATGATACTGAGATTTCAATAAACAATAAAATAAAAATTGAAAAATTTCAGAAAATCTTTATCTCAAAAATTAGTTTATTCCAAAAATCATGGGTTAAGAGAAAAACATAAAAATTATTAAAAATCAATCAAATGCATTTCTTCGAAAATGCCACAAATCAAATTTAAAAATTACATAAATTCAACATAATGTTCAGTGAATCACCTCAGATTGTTTTCATAAATAAAAATTGAAAATTTTTAAAAAAATTACTAGCATTCATTTAAAAAATTGACAATGGCAAATTGATTACAGGTTACCTGGGATTATTTGTTTATTGATTTGATAATATTAATAGTCCCATTAAATTCTCCAAACAATCATGCCTATGGTATTAAGGAAAAATAATCTTTTTATCAATCAATTAAAATGCACATAATTGACAAATAGATAGGTAGGAGATATCAATAATTATTATTCTATATAGGGTCAGGTTACAACGAATATGCGGAACACTAAAAATACCCAGATATCGGTGACATTTCTATTATATTTAATATTTTAATTCAAAAACCTAATTTTCATTTACCTTCAATGCTGGAACTTTGCTGAAAGTATTATTTTGAATGGAAGTTATGTTATTTTCAGCCAAATTTATATGTGTGACATTTCTTAGTCCCAAGAAAGCATCAGAATTGATAGATTTGATGTTATTTCCTACAAGATGGAATTTCACCAGATCAACAAGTTCTTGAAATACACCTTTGGCATCTTCAATCGTCCAAGATATTTTATTATGATTGAAATGTCTACAAAATAATACATAAAATTAATGCATACTCTTTTAAAAACAGTATGTCCAACTTACAAAATTTTCAACTTTGGTAGATGCATAAATGCCTTATCTTTTATAATAGCTATATTATTATTACTTAAAAATAATCTTTGTAAATTATGTAGGTTCTTGAAGGTGTCCTCTTTGATAGAGTCCAGTTTGTTATAAGAGAGATCTAACTCAGTCAAGGCAAGGCAAAATTCCCAAGAATCATCGTGTATTTGATTTATCCTGTTATGGCTCAACGAGAGTTCTTTCAAATTTTCTAAGCCATATAACCATCCTTTTGTAGTAACTGTTATGAAGTTATTATCCAGTATTCTGAAAAAAAATAGGAAAAAGATGGTAGGTATAGTATAGTAATAGTATCAATCGAGATTATTAATACAATTTTGAACTAGGGGTACACCAAACATGTATGCCTAAAGGACCTTTTAAGATCATTTTCCTAAAAGAAAAGACACTATACAAGTTTGTACTTTTCTTTGGGGAAAATTTTCTGATCAGATTTGCCACTCTGTCAAGATAATACTCTTTGTGAATTGTGTTAAAGGATCATTTTTAAAATTTAAATAACATTCAATGGAGGATGAGCAATGAAGCAATTGAACATAGTTTTATTTAACACTCATGTGTGCAATGCAAAATGATAACATGTTTTTTATCAGTGATGTCTAATACAAAAATGGAAATGTTGAATATTTATTCAATCATTAGTCATTACATTATCATAGGCAAACTCCTGGAAGAAATAATAATTGGTCAATTTGATTTATGTCCTTATTTTCAACAAAAGATCCAATAAAGACATAATGTTATTTAAATCGAATTTGAACTACATTAATGAATGAATTTATCAATTATTAACCATTTTTGTTTATTAACAGTTCCAGATATCTGATACTATATGACCATCTGAACATGGAAATTGACATTATGGTATAAACAATAAATACCCTTAATTAGTTGATCTTAAAACGATTTTTGAATGCTTTTTATGTGTTGAAAATCAACGCCTAATGAGCATTAAGGGGGCTAAATGGGGGGAGGGTGGTTAATGACCTTGGCATCGGTAAGTTCTGTGCTCTGAATTGGTGCTTCTGTTTGCGTTCACCCGATGGACGAGAGCGTGTATGGCGAAGACGGGGAGAACGATTTTCCGACTGTTGCATTTCTCCAAGAACACCTTTTGGAGTAGTATCATGGTGTGGGCTGGAATTACATCTCACGCCCGTACTGCCCTGGTTTTTATCGAAAATGGCGCTTTAACTGCTAACCGTTATATTGAGGAATGTTTAGCGGTCCACGTTATTCCTTAATTTTGCTCCATTTGTTGGTGAAAATTTTTCTTTGCTGCACGACAATGCCAGGCCTCATGTCGCAAGACTTGTCAGTGTTTATCTTGATGAAGTAGGGATTCAACGATTGGACTGGCCTCCATGTAGCCCTGATCTGAACCTGATTGAGCATGTGTGGGACATGTTAGGGAGGCTAATTCGCAATTGACAACCGGAAACCATTCCAGATCTTTGAAGAGCTTTTCTCGAAGAATGGGAGAACATTCTGCAAAGGGCTATTGCCAATTGTATTGAGAGCTTACCACGTCGCATGGCAGCAGTTATTAGAGCACGAGGAGGTAATATCCAATATTAGTGTTTGTTTATTTCTTAAAGTTATCTGTAATGTTTTCAATTTTTGTTATTGATATAAATTGCATTGCTACTCTAAAAACTTGTGCTTCCTTTGAGATTGAAGATATTGATATGAATTAAAAAAAGATATGTTAAGAAATGATAACGCTTAAGAATGTCCTCCAAATATGCATGATTGTGTCGTTGAATTATTCCACAGAGTGTTTAGAAGTTTGGGAACAAATGCAACTTATGGTTCCACCCTGTATAACACCAAATCCATTCGAACTTTTTGCAAACACAATATTAAATAATGGTTAAGATAAACGCGCCTACCATTTGACAAAAAATGATCAATTTCGATGCAAAATTAAAAAAATTATTCAGGATTGACATTTAACAAAATTTTCTTTGTCTGGTTTTTTAGTCCAGGAGTGTAATTTGTGTTGTTGTTAAGGATATTTTTTGAAGCCACTAAATAGAGAATGGGCGCTTAAAGCTTTTGGGGTAGTTCAATTATTCAATCAATATATGCTTTATTGTAGTTGCCATTGAAACCTATGTGATATTGTCTATGTGATATTGTTTGTCATGTTTTGATGCAGGGTACCTCTTTTTTTTCTATTGTTATTATAGTGTAGTTTTAATTTTAGCTAGATATTACTTTTAAATTTGTTAATTACCTATTGATATATTTTTTATTGTATTCTTGTATAATGTAATATCAGGATACTATTATTGGACTTGTTCCGTTTGTGTCCTAAAGACTGTAATAAATAAATGAACATATTTTTTTAAAAAACAGACCTGCGTCCTACATGTAATGAAACATGATACTTAAATTATTTTTATCAATGATAATATACATATAACCCCGCATATATGAAACAATGAAAATGTTAGACCACACAAGGCAATATTTGTTTATTATTCATTACACTATCTTATGCAAATTACAAGAAAAAATTATAATTGACCAATAAATTTAAACAATGCCCTTATTTTCAACAAAATATCTAATTAGGATATTCTTATTATTTTAATTGAGTTCAAACAAATAACTTAATAAATGAAATTATCAATTAATTATTTTCGTTCATTTAAATTGCCACATATCGTCGTTAAAGAAGCTTCATACCAATGTACCCTAAAACATCGTGAAGGTAATAACTGGATGACCTATGATATTTTACAGTTAATCAAGGAACGAGACAATAAATATAAAGCATTAAAACAACTAAAAATTAATAATGAACCTACTAAAACTACCGAAGATGAATTCAAAACTTTGAAAAACAAGATTAACTGTGAAATACGTAAACAAAAAACATCCTTTTTTGCAAATCAGTGGTCCAATGCAGGGAGCAACCCCAAAAAACAGTGGAAAGTCATAAATTCTCTAATAAATAAAAACAAAAAAAAAGATGCTGTAGGCTCTCTGGAAATAAATGGTTTGCTGCAATCTGATCCAGCGAGAATTGCAAATGAGTTCAATAAATACTTTGCAAGTGTGGGTGAATCAATTGTACAGTCAGTAAATAGGGAATGGTCACAAATGGAGACTAGAGTAGATTTAGGGGAGCTTGAATGTGATAGGACTTTTTATTTAAGGGAAACAAATGAAAGGGAAATTTATGAAGTTTTGAGTAATCTAAATAAAAATTCAGCTGCAGGTTTTGATAATATAAACGTAAAAGATCTTATCATAATTATTGAACCACTACTGCCAATTTTAACAAATCTCATTAACAATGTACTTGCAACAGGAATATTTCCAGAAATATTAAAATTAGGAAAAATAACTCCATTACATAAAGCAGGCGATATAACCAATAAACAAAATTATAGACCAATTACAGTTGTGTGTGCTTTTTCCAAGATTATCGAGTCTTTGCTGAAAACTAGATTAATTCAATTTATAAACAAATATATCGGTTTTCATAGGTATCAGTATGGGTTTTTGAAGGAAAGTAATACTCTTTGTGCTGTAACAGATTTTGTAAACTGTGTAGCTTCAGCTTTGGATGAAAAAAAATGTGTAATTGCTGTATTTATTGATCTTAAAAAAGCTTTTGATGTAGTGGACCACTCGGTTCTACTGAATAAATTATGGACCATGGGTGTTCGAGGGGTGATGTATTCCCTTATTGCGTCCTTCTTGAAGGATCGACCTCAGTTTGTTACAGTGGAGGGAATAGAAAGTAATAGAATTTTAAACAATTGTGGAGTACCACAGGGTTCAGTTTTAGGGCCGATATTGTATTTAATTCACGTGTTGTCACTGAGGCAGGCTGGCCTAACAGGACGGTATTTCACGTTTGCGGATGACACTGTATTTTTTTATAGTGGATCCAACATGCAAACACTTGAACAAACTGTAAATGTTGACTTGTGTAGATATTCTGAATGGTTATTGCATAACAAACTAAAACTTAATGCAGAAAAAACTATATATTTAGTATTCCAACAAAAAAATACAGAACATTATAAATTTGAAATAAATATCAATAATATGCAGATATCTCAAGTTCACTCAACCAAATATCTAGGTCTTATAGTTGATGATAAACTTAATTGGGGAAATCATATTGACAGTTTGATTAAAAAAATCATCCCCATGTTAGGAGCATTGTATAGATGTACAAAATATTTAAATACCAGAAATCGCTGCTCAATTTACTATGCATACATTCTGTCAAACTTGAGATACCTTATAAATGTTTGGGGTACATGTGGTGTGACTTCTTTCAACAGAGTACAGGTACTACAAAATAGAGCGGTTAAGGTCCTGTTTCAAATGCCTTATCGTACCTCCTCAGAGTTATTGTACCCACATCTTTCGTTACAGCCAATAAGATATGTGTTAGAGTTAGAACAATGCAAACACATTTATAAGATTTTATTTTGCAATCTCAAAAGTAATTCTAGTCTAAAAACAAACAGTGAACTGTATGAGTACAAAACAAGAGGAAATCGTAATTTACATGTCAGTAGCATAAGAACAAATAAAGCACTTTATAATCCATTGACCAGAGCAGTACTTATGTATAACCAGGTACCGATTCATGTCAGAGAAGCTTCAACATTTGAAATATTTTTGAACAGACTCAAGGAGTTTTTAAACACAAAAATGTATTTCTGAAAAAAATAAATAATAGTAATGATGAATAAATTGAAAAAAAAAAAATAAATAAATGAAAATGATAATAATAAAAAAAAAAAACAAAAAAAAATTAAAAAAAAAAATTCTAAATTAGATTAGTTTGGTGCCAAAATAAACGTACAAATAAATGTGATTGTTGCGAATGTTTTTATTTACATAAGTGTTTTTTTTTACTGTATAACTTTGGTAATTTTAAGGTTTTATTAGTCTGAATATTGTGTAGTCTGAATCAAATTATATCTTGCTCCGTTACCAGCGTTTAGCTGTTTAGGAGCGAATAACAAAGTACATAGCTTAACTTGTGCCTTAGATTATATGAAAAAAAACAAAAATTGTAATTTGTTATTTAATAAATAAAAAAAATAAAAAATTTCACAAAGTGACGTATCTCAAAAAAACTCTGATTTGAGATACGTCACTTTGTGAAATTAACGACGATATCTGACACTTATATGACCATGGTGATTCGTTATAATTGCATAAACACCTCGATAAACACCCTTAATTAGTTTATCTTAAAACGATTTTTGAATGCTTTTTTGGTGCAGTATAAATAACCGTTTAAAGAGCATTAAGTAATGAGCGCTAACTCCTGAAAGAAAAGCAACCAGTAATCTACTTTAAAAAATAAATATGTTGTCATAATTACCATCGTTCCAATGAATTGATTGCAAAAGCCAATAAAACCGAGAAAAACGTTTTATTTATCACTTAATGCATATTATATTTTGATAATAACTATCATTATGCATGCCTATTATTGTAATCAAATAACTAAAAACATTTTTTAAAAATTAGGTATCAATTAAATAGCTGCCGAGATTTCAATTTTGTTAATTCGTACTTTGATGCAATGTAGCTACATATATATTTCCATCCATAATTGATTCTTGCGAGGATTCTTGCCAAATTGCATAATTATAATGGTGGCTTATTTCTTCTACATTATGCCTACATGCAAAGATTTTATGAAAGAAACAAATGAACACTTCATTTTCTCAAGGAAATGATTACATTATATTTCTTCACGTGAAAAGCTAAATCAGTAACTTTCAAAGAATGGAATATTGTTGACTGGTTCTCATAGCCTAGGCATATGTATAAAATATTATATACATACCTATTATGAGAACCACATTAAAAAATTAAACTTCCTGGGAACATGTCTGACTGATAAAGGCTTGTGGACTGTTTTATTTTAGAATTTTATATAGTCCAGAGTTTGTGGTTTTGTATTGCAATATATGAAGCCTCAATGCTGGACGCTTATAGGATGTGATTCCGCCAGCAACTTTTAAAATAGGGTACTGATTTTGTCAATAAGCTTTTAAAATGGTATAAACCAAAGGTGTACAGCTTGAATTATTGTGAAAAATACAACATTGTTGGGAAATTTCTTAACAAGGGACATTTCCATGGTATTTATTATTATTATTATTATTATTATGTGCATTGTATCTGAATAATATTTAAATCATAAGATAAAAACTGTTTATGTAGTGAAAATGTTTTGTCACTTTTGTTCTTGCTTTTATTATTTACCAAAATAGAATAGTAGAATAGTAGCAAGCCAGACTCAACAGAGCTAAATAAGATTTTATCAGTTCATCAGGCGAACATTGTTTTGAAAATAATTATACAAATGGCTTTCAATTTCCTGAAAGTTAAGATATGAGCTTGTTTTGCATTTTTGTATTTTCGATATGACAGATCTTTATTCAAAAAGTAGGTATTGAGGTAGGTATATTGGAAAAAAAAAACTTAAATGTGATATGTAATTTTAGCCTTGCTTTTAGCCCTGAAAATTTCATAACTAAGAAAAACCAGCATTACAGATAAATAAATCATAAAATATATTTTGATTGACTCAATTGAATATTTACTTACAACACAATCCTTATCTATGTCAAAATGTCTATCTTTGAATAGCAGATAATTTCACAGCTTAAGATACGTACCTAGTAAAAATAATGTCTGAAAAGTATTGTTTTCACCTTTGATGACATCATTTATTAATAATATCCTCGATAATGTCAAATATTTGAAAATATAATATTGGATAAAGCTTACTTAAGCATACATATTTCAATTCAACCAATATTTGGTATGATTTCCCTAGAAGTTCACTGAGCATCAGGGCAACTAACTATCAAACCAAAATCCAATGAGATTTTTGAAGCTCATGTTATGTATTTTTAAGCATTTTTGTTTGTTACATGCCATGGACAAGGCCAGGGGCTAGTCGTACTAACTTTGAGAAACGATGGTCACGCTGGATCCTATTCTTATAGACCCAAACTCTATTAATCTCAATAAGTATGTCATAATTGAGTGATGGATAATAATTTCTGTCTGTAACAAAATATGCTGGTTGCAGATATGTAATAAAACTTGAAACTGTTCTATATCAGAATATTTAGGTATGTACTCAGCAGGGTATTCAGGTATGCACTTACCTACATGAAATAATTTTAAAAAATCAATGAATTTAAAAATAATTTATGTAAGCTGGGACTTTTTGTTTAAACAAATATACCTCTAAACTGAAATAATTATACAGTTGAAATTATTGGTTTTTCTAAATCAGGAAGGTAGCGAGAAATTTGGTATGGGCAATGTTGAAATATATGGATAGTGCCTACAAATAGAAGTATGTAAATGGGTCTGACGTATTATGGCGCGAGCTACCACCAGGTTATACTTTAATCCTCAAACCTAAATTTCATAAATTATAAAACAAAAAAATATATACTTACAGTTTTTCAATATCTGTCAAACCATAGAAAGCCCCATCCCTGAGAGTGTCAATTTCATTCCTCTTTAATTTTAGGATTCTCAAATGCTGCAATTCCTTAAAGGTTAGTGCTTCTATTTCTGTTAGTTTATTCCGGTTTATTTCCCTGGAAGAATTTGGCACATAAACGTTTTGTTACTTAAATATGATTGAGTGGAATTAAAATTGAAACTTTTATTGGTGGCTTGTTATAGAAACGACCTAATAAAACAAGTGTATTTTGTACGATGCCCATGGTATGACCTAGGTAGTAGTATCCAGTTTAAAATAAAAAAATTAACGATTGGTTCCTTGGAAGCTTTTTTTTTTTCTTTCAAGAATTGCATTCACAAAATTTTTGTAGGTGCCTATTGAGGCACCTATATTGTATACCAGGGTAGTGAATGGATGAATGAATAAATAAATAAATAAATAAAAAATAAATAAACAAAAACTTGAGTATACATACTGAATCAAAGTGATAGGAGATCTCCTCGGAAATCTCCCATCTTAAATTTTACCATTTTACCAACACCTGTGTTCAGAACAACATAAGTTGCAGCTCTACCAATTGTCGAGCCAATTGTCTATTCAATTAGGCTTCAACCTCTAAGTGTGGTACCTCATTTGGATTTTGCAGCAAACAGCAATAAGTTTATTTATTTTCTATTCGATTTCCCTCAAAACACCAGGCCGAGCACCAGGCATACGCCAGAAGCAATGAAAACAGCAGAAATGTTTTCCCAATGATCTTTAAATAAAAGAATCATCAAATGTCTCTTCTAGTATACCTATGTAATGATGAAACATTTATTAAAATTGAGATAAGGCGTCATTTCTAATGAACATTGTCTATATCGGCCCGCAGAGTCATGCAATCATCAAACAGGAAGCGCATTTGACCGCCTCAGTTATATTGTTAATGAATGTAGGAATTTATTCTTGTATGTCTCCAGATACCTCAAAGTAAGTCAACAATGAACTTGAGATTCTTGAATTATCTGGGCCTAAAATTTTTTAACTTACTACCTTCAGAATTGGCAAATACACCAAGTCTGAAAAAATGTATCAAACATTGTAGATGTTTAATATTTAACAAAAATGACGAGTTTGTTAATCTTTTAAAATAAAAAATGAGGGAGAACTTTATTGTTATTGAAATTATTCTTATCTGCCTTACACTGCATATATTTCTTTAAGAAAAAAACTTTACCTAATATGAGACTTTTAAACAAATGGATGATTATAGCACATACAGGGGATCTAATCGCCTAGGTGCTTAAATTACAAATTGTAAGACAATATACTCTACAATATATTAGCAATAAGGACTCTCTGTAAAACAATGTAAGTTCAAAATAATTCCGTAATATATTTGATTTGATATTTATTTATTTAAAACTTTACAAACACCAAGCTGGTAATTACATGTAAAGAACACTTACAATTAGGTACTTAAATATATATATTCACTGACTGTCTTTTAATTGTTCGTCTTTTTGTATATTAAAATTAGGTCTCGACCGTTAAAAATACAATACGTCGTTGGCCTTCTTGTGCAAAAAGAATGACCATCATCGCCCTTCAACACGCTTCTTCTCCATAACCCAATGGTATTCTCAGCCCACGGCTTCTCCCCTCTTTGTTTGTTCCCCAATGTCAGAATGAATTCCAAGAAAAAGACAGACTAGAGCTTGTCTTTAAGAAAAAATACCACATTTGATGCTTACCAACAAAAATAAAAATGACATTCTGTAGGTACTTAACCTACATGTATAGAAGAAACAACAGTCGTTCAAGATTGATTCCTTGCGGTATGATATAGTGAAAGATGCCAATTCAAAGGAAACCCCGAGGGAAACCCTATTTGAATGAAGCTTCCAAGGAAGCTTCTAGTTTTTATCCATTGAATATGCTTGCGACTTGGCTTGCGTCCTTGGAAAACATTCTAGAAAGGGTAGTATCAGGGGTAGTACATGTTCAATTAATTGATTATGTGTAAACTAATAAGTTAACAGGTAATCCGTCTACATTCCAAGAAAAGCACATTTGCGAACGAGCCATTACAATGTGTAATTGATAATTGATAAGTTGAAAAATGGCCTAGATAACAACTATGCTATAAGTAATTGCAGTTTACCTAGATCTTCAGAGAGCATGTTTTTTCAAGGGTATTTTTTGTCAGGTGCCTTTCAAAAATGCCATGATCAAATCACTTCTCATTTTCTCTCAATAATATACAGTGTTAAGTTCGCAGCATATGGGAAACTTTTTTACTCGCTTTTTTATTATTAATTTTACGAAAAAAAGTTATTCTTTATAAAAGTTTCTGCTTCTCGAAAAAATAATATTAAACTACTAAAACTTGGAATAGCATGTACAGGGTGGTCAAAAAATAGAAAAATATACAGAATTTTTTGATAAAAAATGGTAAAAGTAGAAAAAAAATGGCATGTCACTATTTTTTAAAACCTTTGATATTTTTTTCAGGTTCAGCAAGTCATATTAAAGTCAAAAGATACCTTTCGTTATCACAAACAGACCTGCCAAATTTGAAAAAAAAAAATGGAAAATGGATTTTTGAGCTAAAAAAACGATTTTTTCTAAAACTTTGACACCCTGTATCTCAGAAACTATGCACTTCCGGACACATGTTTATGGGAACTTTTTTCTTAAAATATTGTAAAGAATCACATCCTGAAGTTACGAACCGTACTCAAGAAATACCCTGTATATTTTTCTATTTTTTGACCACCCTGTACATGCTATTACAAGTTTTAGTAGTTTAATATTATTTTTTCGAGAAGCAGAAACTTTTATAAAGAATAACTTTTTTTCGTAAAATTGATAATAAAAAAGTTTCCCATATCGTCGGTCTCCGCATGTAGTGGCGTAACTGACAAAATTGAAAATTTTGAGTTACGCCAGTAAAATACATATTTTTATGTGTTCTATAACCTCAAGCATTATTAAACGTATGGGCGTAACTGTTTTGCTGAAATTTAATTGTTAGATTTTGGCTTTATCTGCATATAATATACCTAGTTCATTTTCCATGTATAGGCGTATATTCACTTACACCCTTAATAGGTAAGATTGAAATTTTTTTATCCAAAGCTTGCAACTTCTTGATAGTACCTACCTATAAAGCCTATTGAACAATCAAATAAAAAAAAATTAATTAACATAGCTCTCATATTTTTCCTCTCCTGAAAAATTTACCAAATGCTAGTTATGCCACTACGTGCGGAGACCGAGGATATGCTGCGAACTTAAGTGGACACACTGTATATAGAATAGGCGCATGCTCAAGTTCATGTTTTTATCTTACAATTTTATGTAGAATTCGAATCTGATGAAAAAGTAGCAAAGTGACTACAAGTGACTGTAAAGCTCGCTGTAAAGTGTCGAAAAGTTACTTTTTTTTAAACTTTATGGATCAAATTGGGTGCCTTTGTTTTAAAAAAGTAGGGGGGTTCTTCTCATTGATACCCAGGAAATACCTATACCTACAATGACTTTTGGAATATTGGAAAGCAGTTAGAGAGCACTTAATTCCTATAGAATATTTTGGCAATTGGCAGTATTTTTATTTTTCATATCTCCAGCATCCAAAAAATGATGTAAACAAATAATTTTAATACTAAACGCAGAGACGTGCTTGCCCATTTTTTTTTCTCAGCTCACCATAGAGCACTTAATTAAAATATTTCGGCTGTTGAGAATAATTTTGTATCTCCATGGTATGTACCATCGTCACCAAAAGTATCTGGGACACAAATAATGCATAATAATCTCCTGGACTAATTCTACTGTCATTCATTTCAATGCATTCAATTCATAGTTTGACAAATATTTGACATAAAATTCATATAATAGGACAAGAGCTAATGTGATGCTGTCCCAGTTACTTTTCGTGACGATGGTACATGCAAATATAGAATAATTATTAACCAAAAAGTATTTTAATAATTGACACATTTGATTTTCCTGACAAATGAGTACCTATAGCAGTATTAATGCACTTAAAGAGCACTTAATTTTGCACTTTAATCTTTCAAATTATTGCAAGAATTATTTAGATGCACTAGAAAGCAGATTTTGATATTTTTTTCGCCAAAATTTTTAATTTACTTTATTATACAGGGTGTATATTTTAAGTGATACCACTATTGCTATATCCGAAACGGTAAGAGCTACAGGGTTGGTTAAATTAGAAAAAAGTTGCCTTGTTTGATGCCCATTTAAGACTCGTTTACAGTATTGCCAAATTTCTTTTAGTTTATGAAATACAGGGTGATTTCTAAGAAACGTCCAAAAATATTTCATCATTTATTTCGAACACTATTGATTTTTGAGACACAATTTAAATTTGAAAATTATATAATTTTTTTCGCACTACAACACGGCATCTTCAAATTTTAAATCCGACGTTTCGTGATCGAGATACCATCATCAACTTCATTTTTTTAAATACGGACCTGGATTTTTTATGTCATTTTTAGGAAGCGCCCTTAATTCTCTTTCCAAAAATGACATAAAAAATCCAGGTCCGTATTTAAAAAAATCAAGTTGATGATGGTATCTCGATCACGAAACGTCGGATTTAAAATTTGAAGATGCCATGTTGTAGAGCGAAAAAAATTATAAAACTTTCAAATTTAAATTGTGTCCCGAATATCAATAGTTTTCAAAATAATTGACGAAATAATTTCAGGCCTTTTTATAAATCGCCCTGTATTTCATAAACTAAAAGGACTTTGGCAACACTGTAAACAAGTCTTGAATGAGCATCAAAAAAGGCAACTTTTTTCTAATTTAACCGACCTTGAAGCTCTTACCGTTTCGGATATAGCCATAGTGGTATCACTTAAAATATACACCCTGTATATATTTGTAATTAAATATTAGCACCTAGCCACCTAATAAGCACAGCACAGCATTCTTGCATGGGTCCCAGTACTGCAAGGTTTTTAGACCTCCAAAAATTTCTCACTATATAGAAGTGCATCAAATGTGAAATTATATATGAATTTTTCTGTCCTCCCTCAATTTTTGATGACAGTCTGGTCCCATTCTTTGCTGTTTATTTTTACTTATGTGAGTAAGTAGGTACTTAATCCTAATTGTTGGCTAGTTATACGATTTTCTCTCCATTTTCTCAAAAATGATAGGTGGACCAAACTAATACAATATGGAAAAAAAAGGGAAAATATAGAATTTAAAGAAACAATCTTATTTGTTCTAGTGTGCATTGACTTGAAGATTGCCTGCCCACTGTTACAACAAGCCACCACTAAAAACACAACTATATGTGCCACTCAAGAATAATTGAAAAATAATCCAACAATAATCAATTAGGTACTTACAAATGAACTGCAAATTCTGGTATGTTCTTTGGGACAGATTTAAGGCCTTTAGAGTCACAGTCAATATAAGTGTCCAAGCAACGGCATGCTTTAGGACACTTATTTTTTGCTAGGGTTAAAGGACTTACTAATAAAAGCCCATAGAAGACCCAAAAACAAACACCCACCATTTTGGAAAAACACTCCTATTATTTTTCATAGTTCACTGGTCAATATGCCGCAATAGCGGCATTTTATTCACAATTTCCATTAGTTTACGAACAGTCTTAGCCACTGACGATCAATTATCACCACTCTTCTCTTTGAAAATGGTGAAAATTGTATTATTTTTAACATACTGGTTACATGATGCAAAAATGACACAAACAATTCTATACATCAACTGTAATTTGGTGTTGGAGTGGGATGGAGTTGGGAATGTGGTGGGATGAGAATTTTAGTTTTTTTTGTTCGAGATGATTATGGTTGTCACTAGGCGAATTCGGTTTGATAGGATAACTGACATTGTTGACAGGTGACCACGTGATGTTTCCCTTGAAGTTATAACACCGATCACGTGGGCATATCATCTTTTATTTCGCGGAGCACAGACACATTTTTACCAACTATACGCGTCTGGGATGGAATAGCGAGTTAAAAACTCAAATTTTCACATCACTATTAGTTGTATTCCTTTCAAGAGTTTGAAACACTCGAGCTATACTCGCTCCAGTGTTTAGTAGCCCCCGATTTGCAGGGAACAGATGCATGGTGCAACAAAAACTTTTCGAAAGGAATAAGCGCGTGAAGCCCCGCGGAGCTGTTCCGGAGCTCCTCCTAGGTGTGAAAGGAATACAACAATTCACTCACTACTGTTGGCAATACTTTGAAATTTGAATGACGTAATTAGGTTGTACTTATTCCTTTCAAGAGTTTAGAATACCAGAGCTACTCGCTCCGGTGTTATCGACCCCGATTTGGAAAGAACAGGATGCGCTGGCTTTCGTGCATTAATCGCGTGTTGCTAAATTCGCCAAAATGGTGCACCGCCACGGATGCGGTTAATAAACTTTACTAATGCCAATGCCAAACCACAGCTTGACAAACCCTGTTTAATTTTACCAACACTGCCTGTTCTACCATTCCACCACGGTGCCTACACCAGCTGAATTTAGCCACACGCGGTAAATGGTTTGAGTTGGGGCTTTGAACACTTCAGGTGCAACAAACACTTTTTGAAAGGAATAGGTGCGTAACGCCCCGGAGCTGTTCCGGAGCTACTCCTTGGTGTGAAAGGATTTTCTCGTATGTTTTCGAACGCACTGGTGTATAATAAGCCGCTTTCCAGCTGACACTTTTGAGCACGCAATCGAGCTTTTGCGCGCGCAAATGCTTCAAGCGCGTGTTCGTGTTCCAGCCGTACTGCGCTTCGAGAGCTGCTAACTTTTGCGTTTCAAACACAGAACACTGTGCTGCACAAGGAAAGCGGATATAATTATAACCTAGCAAACATAATATTTAGGCCCAGTGTTCTGTGCATTTCATTTTTCTGTTTGTACTTCTTATCCAAGGATGATACACACTACTACTATAGGATGGCCCATCCTCATAGATAGAGCCTGTGTGTAACAAATCCCCCCTTTCCACCGCGCCAAAATACCAGTTGTGACGTAGCCAGCATGTTATTTCTCGCCTTGACGTAGGCTGTTTAAACAGCTGACAACAACTTAGTTATGTCGTCGGCCGTCGTATCACACCAATATAAGCACTCCTTATGCCTCATTCTCACTTGCGTGAAATTCGCTATTTTTGCGCGAAATTCGCTCTTTTTTTGACATCGCAATCAAATCACCAGTGGTGACGTAGACAGCATGTTATTTCTCGCCTTGACGTAGGCTGTTTAAAAAGCTGACTTATTTATGACGACAGAAATGGTGACACACCCATATGGCGGCAATTACCAAAAACGAGGCTGATAAGCAATCCAGGTAGGTGTGTATCATCCTTGGATTATCCTCGCGAAAAATTGCCTATTGAAAAAACCGACAAGAATGACAGGAGTGAAATTTACCTTGGGCAGAGTTGGTTAGGAAGGAAAGAGTGCACACTGGGTAGCACCCCGGATATTTTTTGAACTAGCGTGAAAGTCAACCGGAGTTTATAAGGTCTTAGCTGTTTCTGCAGAAATCACAAACCAGTCAGAGCGAATTTAATTGGTTGAGAACAGTCATAAACAGTCAGAAAACTAGTTTCAAACAATAAAATTCATTCTGACTAGTTTGTTTGTGATTTCTGCAGAAATAGACCTATAACATTTAATTTTCGAACGGCTGGTTTGCACTCGGTATGACGCCCAGACTGAAGACTGATTTCGAACGCACTCTTGGAGCGACTTTCTAGTCTAGTGCAAGGCTAACGTGTGAGTGTGAAGCTCGGGAACTGCCCTGCACTTGCATGAATAGCACTCGGTGGGTTATGTCTTCGATCCTTTCAAGAGTTTAGAACACTAGAGCTACTCGCTCCGGTGTCAGTCGATCGCGATTTGAAAGGAACAGATGCGTTGGCTTGTATTACAGTGGCTAAATAAACCTTTACATACAGTGGCGACAATAGAGGTCCCGCCGCCATCTTGTTCCCAACCTCTTGTTACTTTTAAATATTAATATATAGGATTTAAATGGACATCTATCATAAAAAATTGAAATCGACGTATTTGATGACCATTATTAGGTCCATCAAATACGTTGTTTTCCATGATTTATGGTGGATGTTCACCTAAATCCCATATATTCATATTTAAAAGTAACAAGGGGTTGGCAACAAGATGGCGCTCTTTTCAATATAAATATATGGGATTTTAGAACCAATCAAAAATGAGACAGCAATTGTCGCCACTGTGGGTTATAGAGTCACTGTAGCTTGTATGAGTTCGGGCTTGAGCACTCAGGTGCACGAACATTTTTCGAAAGGAATAAGCGCGTAACGCCCCGGAGCTGTTCCGGAGCTTCTCCTAGACCGGTATTCATAGACGGGTGCTTGGCTCAAGCTCTGATTTTTGTTAGTTGTGAGCATCGTTCCGTGTTGTTTGGAATAGCAAATATGGCGTCAAGTCGTACTTGAGCCAAGACGCAACCTTGAGCATCGACTATGAATACGGGCCCTAGGTGTGAAAGAAATACAACTAATATGTAGCTGCAAGACCTGTTCCAAGCTGATCGGGCTCGTATTCTACAGATCTGGTTGGAGTAGATACCAGAGCCGCGTTCTCTTTGTCATAATCTCCAGAGCTATTCGGCCGGAGTCAAGCATAATACACACTACTACTACAGGATAGCCTAGTCCATAAGGCCTGTGTAGAACAAATCTGAAGCTCTTCACCACGCCAAATCACCAGTTGTGACGTAGACAGCCGGTCGTTTCTTGCCTTGACGTAGGCAGTTTGCACCACAGGTTATGATTCCGCGGCCTTTTGCTTTAGGCCGGATTTTCATGCATCCGTTTTCCGATGAAATATGTCCGAAAAATCTTCTATTTTGACATATTTTTATACGATTATGTCAGAATACAATGTTTTTCGGACATCTTTCGTCGGAAAAACGGATGCATGAAAATTAAGCTTTATGCATACTTGGTTTTACTACATTAATTAACAATTAACATTCAATAAATGGTGACACACCAATATGGCGGCGATTACCAAAAACGGGGACGATAAGCAATCGTTAGAAGTGTGTATTAGCCTTGATCCATGAAGTCATGGACTTATAACCAAAAGAATAACCAAAGTCGCAAAAATGTTGTGATACCAATCCCAAAATGGTAAAAACCAAATTCGTTTGGTTATTCGCTTAAAATTGGCTCAAGTGCTCCATTATTTCGAACAATTCGCAAGTAGTCACAAACCCCAAACAATGAGGTATAATTATTAAAAAGAAAGCTCCGCGAGTCAAATTCACCTTCACCTACTGAAAGAACGCGCCGCTCAAATAGTACTCGGAGTTACTCGTAGCTGCTTGGTGTCACTCGCAGAACGAAGTAGAACGCAGCTTGGGACGAAAGCGACATTAGTTGTATTCCTTTCAAGAGCTTGAAACACTAGAGCTACTCGCTCCGGTGTTAGTCTACCCCGATTTGAAAGGAACAGATGCGCTGGTTTTCATGCATTTAAATGGATTGAGTCGGGCTTGAGCACACAGGTGCAACAAAACCTTTTTGAAAGGAATAAGCGCGTAACGCCCCGGAGCTGTTCCGGAACTCCTCCTAGGTGTGAAAAGAATACAACTTTTGACAGTCACTGTGGGACAGTGACGGTGACGCTAGTGACAGTTGTTAGCTTAGATGCCAGTCGCCTATGCGTTACTAAACTACACAAATGTTTTTTTTCTGTATAAAATGTAAGCGTTAAGCGAAAAACAATTTTATAATGGGGCGAAGCAAGTTTCCGGGAAAGCCTTCCAAACACTGCCATAGAAAACGGGTGAACGTGCTTCCTCCAACTGGGGATTTAAATCAGGAAGGCCATAATTCCTCGGTGACAGATTCCGGAGCTTCTAAAGAAAATAAACAGGTAAACATTCAATGTTTCTAATATTCTAGTGACTAACACGGTTAATTAATTTTTATTATTTGTATAAAATAAACCATACAGATTCCTGTTTACATGCGGGTTTTAATTTTTAGGACGATGAACTCTCTGAAAACGAAGGTGAAAGTACATCTCAAACACAGAAGGCAAGGCCCCTTAGAAGGAGACTGTCAAGAAAACTTAGCACAACAATGCGCAAAAATGGGCGTCAAAGAAACTTCATAACCAAAGTACGAGGGAAAACCCCTCTGAAAAATAATTGTACAGCCCGGAACAGTATCTCTAAAGGCCATGTATGCAAGGACACCAATAATTTTGTAGGAAAGTTTGTACTCCCAACAAGAAGTATGCACTCATCAAGAGTAATCAAACCTAACAAAAGGTTTATAGATTTAAATGAGACTTTAAGTGTTAAGAAGAAAAGGCCAATGAAAATACAAGAAGACAAAAGTATTACTTTGGAATCAGACTCTAAAGACAACATTGCATTTTCAAATGGTCACAGGGTTATATTGAGGCAACCTAGACTTAAATTACCAAATCAAATTGGTACTCAAGGACCTTTTTCATCAAATCTCCATAATGGGCCTGGTGTTGGTCCTGGTACAATAATCTGTGGAGTGTGTGGTGCTATACGGTATTATCGTTTTGTTAAACAAGCTCGCAAATTTAACATATACTGCTGCGAGTCTTGCAGAAAATTTATATTGAAACAAATAAAAAGACAAAATGTATCTGCTCGAAATTCAAATGTATTAATATGTTTAGCCGGTGAAGGAACTTGTTATGTACCACCAGTTGAAAGAAGTCAAAATTGGAAAACATCCAAATACGCCTACAGATCTAGATGCCCAGCGTGTTGGCTGAAAATGTGTATCAAGGCATTTCATTTGCCTTCAACATTGAAACAGAATCTCACACAGTTGCTTCCTAAGAACATGAGAGGCTTAGATTTGAGTTTGAGTAATTCGTTGCCGCCTATTATATGGCAGAAAAATGTTGAAATACCCACTGAAACTTCAGAAGCAATTTCAAATAGTGCGAATCAAAGACCTGTTAGATTTAGACCAACAAGAAACCCTCAACCTAATAATCTACCTACTACTACTTCTGCTGCATCTGATGTTAAAAGACAGAAAATTGACTTAAAAGGTCCTAGAGTTAAACATGTTTGCAGAAGTGCCTCGATAGTGTTGGGACAACCTTTAGCCATATTTGGAGGGGATAATACTGATAAAAAAGCTATTGGTGAATCTTCTGAGCAAGTTATTGAAAAAATTGGTGACCCGATCAAAGCAAAAGAATGTGTTAGAATCTTTTCACCTAGTGCAACTGATGATGATATTTCTTCTAATAGCAGTAATAGCAAAAGCACTCCAGAAAAGTGCATATCCATAAAAAAGGAGAAAAGTAAAAGCCTAAATATACCTTTGATCAACAAAAAGGTAAGTTATGTAAAGCATTTTTTGCTAGATTTTTTATCACCACTCTCAAAAACACAAAACCAATTTCAAATAATAATTTTTTGGATAAGAAATCGTATGAGGTTTCTTCAAATTGCATTTCCTGTTTTAGACACAAAATATAGAAAATATACTGTTTGGTCTACTTAACCTCAAAATGCTATCCAGCCTGCTATTTTTCAATTTTATTTGAACTGCTGATATTATCACTTGAAAATTGGTTCAAGGTTTCGGTTTCACTGATTGTTAATGAATACCATGTGATGTTTAAAAGTGGAAATATATATTTTTTAATAGGCCGTGGCTAAAGTAACAGAGGTGTTACTATAATTATTTTTTTAAAGTAACATCAGTTCAATGACGTCACTGATGTTATTTTTAATAGGGGTTAGTAACAGAAATGTTTACTCTAATTATTTTCTTGAAGTAACGTCAATATAGTAGCAATATATAGAAAAGAAAGGTAGGTACTTTCTTTAGCAATTTGAACTAAGTAAAGGTGATATTCAACAACATAACAATAATATTTTATTTTTTATAAACCAAAAATTTGAATCAACATATTGATAATACAAATCTTTTGTGAGAAAAACGGCGTCTCCATATTCCTATTCCTCACATGCCCTTACAGAGGAACGGGAGTGTAGGTATACTTCTCTCCTGCAGGTGAAATTCGATTGTTTACCTTTTTATGAGTGTGCAAAGTGAAAATTCAGTTTTCCATTTTTAATCATTAGCGGTATAAAATAATGGCCATCAACTTCAAGCATTTTTTTTCAGCAAATGAAGATAGGTAATTTCTTAATTTGGAGCTAAAACTATGATAATCTACAGTGAAAAAACTTCTGCCTAGGAAGGAAAATAATTTACTTTCCTCCATAGGGAGGCGAAATTACTATTTTCCTACCTGAAAAAAAGGTAACAAATTGTCACTTTCTGACAGTCATAAGAAAATGTGTCTTTCCTGCCTTGCCTATAATTGTGCCTGTTTTATAAGTATTCTATTCTATTCTTCAAAGTCAAGTCAGGTTATTTTTTATTTATTTTCATTTTTACTCTAAAACAAATGCCAAGAACCAAGAATATCACCTTTACTTTAAATTGCTAAAGAAAGTAATTACCTATCTACATATTGCTATATTGACGTTACTTCAAGAAAATAATTAGAGTAACACCTCCGTTACTATTAACCCCTATTAAAAGTAACGTTTTCATCAGTGACAACATTGAATTGATGTTACTTTAAAAAAATAATTATAGTAACACCTCTGTTACTTTAGCCACAGCCTTTTTAATAATACATAGTTAGTTTCGAGGTTAGTTTTGTGTTTAGATTCGAGATTAGTTAATTATACCCAAGGTTTTGTCTTCAAGTGAGTTATTGCCTATGATTTTTTAAGCAATTATGCTAGCAACTAGGTATCAGGAATGTTACTTGAATTTAGTTTAACTGTTGAATTTAGCCCGAGATTGAGCCTATTTTGATTTTTTTTGGTATACACACATTTTTTTTTAATAGTATGTATGTATTTTGATTTTGTGACATATTTTTATTGGCCATCAAGAACAAATTTGCATTTTCTAAGTGAATTGAATTAGAATTTTTAAACCTTTTCAAAACTATTGAGAAAGTTTGAACTAAAGTTTTAACCCAGCTTTCTATAAGGAACGATTTTTACAAGTCTCCAAATGTCTGCCTAAGCCTTATAGTTTTAATTGAGGTTTTGATTTTAGATACTTGATTTTCATTGTATTTCAACTCGTATTTCAACAAAAATAATGCTGTTTTCAAATACTTATTTTTAGTGATGGCAAATTACCGGTAATTTATAATTTGGTAAGAACATTAGGTAAATTACGGTAATTTTCAGTAATTTTCAAAATAAAGCAAAGCAAAAGTGGGAGTGATAGTATAATATCCCTTAGGGCCGGTTTATTCACCTTCTGATAAACCAGTGGTTCCCAACCTTTTTTTAGTCACGACCCTTTTACAGATTTTCTCATAAGGTCGCGACCCACTTACCCATTAATAAATAATACTATATTGTGTATTTAGGTGGAAAAGTGACACATTCTCGGCCGACGGTGTTAGTTGACGGGCGAGGCGTAGCCGAGGCCGGCAAACACCGAAGGCCGAGAATGTGCTTTTCCACCGAAATACACATACTATTTTTTTTTTGCGATCGGTTAAATACCTGTTAAATGTTTGTCTTTTGGTTCCAATTATTCAGCAGTACGAGATTCACTTTCCCGGCCTAGGCCGGAAAAGTGTTTCCCGTATTGTTATTCATTGATTCCTTAGCAACTATTGAACCATAATTAAAATACCAGAATATTGAGTTTTGCGACCTGTCAACCGGTCAAAAATGCTGACATTTCTTGTCAATCACAGAAAAAAAACAAAAATTTCATTTATTCGAGAAATCTTGAACAAAAATATTAATATTTCGTAACTAATTACAAAAAGGGAATTTGTATTTTGTTAATGTGATGACTGAGCTTGCAGCTAGTAACAAGTCTTGACATTCTTGGTTGAGTGTTTGTTAAAGCCAATCTTATGTCATCTTGAACACCCAGTCTATTTCTGGCCTTTGTTCTAATTTGCAAAAGGGCTGATAACCCCACTTTCACGAAGGTAGGTAGAGGCAAATGGTATTAGTATCCGGAAAGAAAGCTCAAGCAGGTCGACATAAGGATATGAACTATGCTTGTCACTTCAAAATTAAGTCAAGAATTTCTGCTGAAATAGGGCAGGTGCTGTGGAATCATTCCTCAGCTCTAAAAAATTATCCTGCACTTCATCAGGAACGTCGGCAACATCTAACGCGGCTTGAAATGGGTTCCTTACTACTGCAGCGCCCATGCAACGCCGCGCGGCTTTTGCGGCGGAGTCCAAGGCGTGTTGCCAAATGCAGAAGAATATACCGGGTGGTCCATTTAACTTGAGATAGAGTCTATCTCGATCTCGACAACAACGCGTTTTTGAAAAAAAAAATGTTCAAATAGAAGTTATGGTGTCCCAGGGAAAAGAAAATGATAGCAATGATTTTTGACTCAACTTTTATTAGAACTTTTTTTTTTTCAAAAACGCGCCGTTTTCGACATATTAGACTGTTTCAGGCTAAATGGACGACCCTGTATAATAATATTGGCATTGCGCCCCCTCCAAAAATCCTATGCGACCCACCTGTTGGGAACCGCTGTGATAAACTGTCAGGTATGCAATCTGAAGGATAATAATGCAATCTGTAATTCCATTGGTCAGCCAGTTATCCGCCGACCAATAGAATTATAGAACGGTATATTTATCTTGCAGATAGTAACCAGCAACTATATCTGAAGATGAATGAACCGGGCCTTCCACAAAAGAGTAGCTATATAAAGAAAGTAATTGTTCATAGCTTGAAACAAAAAAACAAATTCTACAAAACGGTAGTCCGAGCAGTAGTCATATAAAGTAATTGTTCATTTAGTTTAAAAAACATATTTTTCAAAACAGCAGCCATATAAAGTTCATATAGCTTTGAAAAAATTACTATAGGTCTGTTCCAACACGTCAAAAACCGTCCCATGATCTATTGGGAACTATTCATTGTAAGGTTTCCTCTCATGTTTCCTGCTGTGTTGGAACAAAGCTTAAAACTATATCTATCAAACTATGACTCCATCCCAGCCTCCTTCCTTCAAGTCGATAAACGTTTCAGATTCTGCACAGCATATATTATGGCATAATATTCCTGAGAATATTACATGGAAACTTTCTGAGAAAATTATCATAAGTTACCAGTTTAAAATTCTCGTTTTGGTAATATTACCCTTATATTACCCCAAGGGTGAGGTAATATTACCGAAACTTCTCTCGGTAATATTCTCCCTTGCCATCACTACTTATTTAAGATCAAATTGGTAGAAGAAATTAGGCTTTTATATTATTTTATTCAACCCAGAATTTACTAGTTCTATGGTTATACTTTGATTCAACTTCAGTTTGTTGTTGCCTTGAGCATTCCTACTCTCAATAAAAATAACACATTTTAAAACGTCTGCAAATGATCAAAATTAGGTAGGTAAATTTTTTTTTTTTAAATATTTCAGGCCACTGATACATCGTCTTCGCCAATTTTGAAAGGCATCCTTATAGATTACTCTCAAGATCTAAACCTAGAAAACCGTCACAAATCAGGATTTTCCTTGATATTCACAAAAGAATTTTCAACAACCAGGGCCATGTGTTACCTTTGTGGCAGTGCAGGCAAGGATAACATGCTAGTCTGTTGTCTCTGCTGTGAACCATACCATTCATTTTGTGTGGATAACTATGATAATAATAAAAACCTGGAAAGTGATTGGCTTTGTATAAAGTGCACTCCATGTCAAGAGTGTAAAGGATTGGACAAAAATAAGATTAGCTGTCCAAAATGTTTCAAAATTTATCATAGTGAATGTTTCAGCAGCAAGGAGGATGCAACTTGTCCCAAAATGGTAAGAAATTTCCGAATTTCTACTTAATTGTTTACTGAATATTACGACTTATACCAGGTGTTTAAAATAACACACCCTTAGGGCCGGTTCGACAATTCGAGTATATCTTTAGTATAGGCTATACCTAGAATAAAAGTTCATTTTAGAACCCAAAAATGAACTTTTATTCCAGGTATAGCCTATACTCAGGATATACTTGAATTGTCGAACCGGCCCTTAATTGACAAACTTTGATATGCAAAATAACAATGATATATTTAAAAAAAAAAGTATTAGCGAATGTATTATTTCTTACTTACAGATTTGTAAGGATTGTACAAAGTGCCAAGATTGTGGTACAGCTACAGCATATAATCTCTCAAGTTTTCCTGGAAATATGCCTCTATGCCTTAACTGTTTGGATAAGAGGAAGGTTGGAATGCATTGTCCAATTTGTCAACATTCCCTTGAAGAAAATAACTCTGGATCTAAGGTGAGTTTTCAAAAATAATACTGAATGCAAATCTTGATGCAAATGTAATAGAAGATAAAACTAGGAACCATAATTCACCAAGCATATAAAAACATTCTTTTGAAATTTAAATCTTATCCTTGAAAGAATTTTCAAAACTTATCTGATAAATATCTTTTAATTAAAAATATAGCTAAGTACCTGATACAAATTTTGTGTCATAGGAAAACTAATGTTTAGAAAAATTATTTTATACATGCAATAGGAAGAATTTAAATAATTATTACTCAGGTGCTTTGCAATATACATGTTGGCTAAAAGTATGAAAATATAACAGATACCTATGCAAAACACAGATACTTTTTTCAAAATTGCAAGACATTAGACCCAAAAGAATATTTTTAATCTTGTCTTGTCTCAAAGAGCTCTGAGGTGTAATCAACAATGGACAAGATTTATAGCAAATAACGTGAATATCGAATAAGTTCAATTCTTGGAAGGATAAAATCCTATATTTATGCAAGACAAGTCAAAAACATCAAATTTTTATTTTTAAATGAGAAGGGTTTGTTTTTGTTGGGAGTCCCAAGAAGAAAAGCATGTAAATTGAGATGTAAATTTGTTCATATGGTTTTGCTATTATTGCAAATAATCCAAATAAAAATACAAAGCAGAAATATACTTCCAAGTCATTTCAAATCATTTCAGATCAAGATTTAGCAAGTAGGTACTCCTGGAGGTACCCACACAGAGAAAACTCAATTTACTCTACTCGAGTACATGAAATAAAAAGTTTACTAAGAAATAAAAGGAAATTGAGAAGTATATGTCGAAAATGTCTACAATCATTTGCAAAAACCTAGTCGAATTGCCCCAGTTTTAGCACAAATATTCAGTCATTTACATTTCAAATTGCCCTACAAGTAAAAGTCGAAAAGTGTAGATAGATATAGGTAATTTACTTTATGAGCACAAAAGTCATCCTCCACCCAAGAGCTTGAGATTGAGGATATATCAGGAGTCCTTTGCCTGAGCCAACAAGGAAAACTACCAGTAATGGTGACACTTGACACCTACTACTTGTCGATTCTTGTGATATCTGCTATATTATATTCCATACTTTTAAGCAAACTTGTATATTTTGTTGATTATATACATAATATTTTTTAAAATGTGTCCCAAAATGGCGAATGATTCTTTTCAGATGTTGGAGTGTTCAAAATGCAAAAAATGGGTACACTCAGATTGTGAGAAATTAACGAGCGAACAGTATGACATTTTGAAATTATTGCCAATTTCTTCGAGTTTCACTTGTAGCCATTGTTTAGAGGATTCAGATTGTACTTGGCGTAAATCCGTACAAAATGAAATGTACAGGAATTTTAATCAAGTTTTCAGGCAGTTAGTTAAAAACAAAACTGCTAAAATTATTTTGAGAAAGGTCACGACTCGTGGTTCTCTGTTCAAAAGATATATGCTAACGAATAATCTTGATATTGACAATAATAATTACAACAGAGATATTGACAAGATTTACTCCTTTGAAGAAAGTGAGAGGCTCCAAACGGATCCTTGCATTCCTACTGTAAATACTCTTCTAGACATTAAGTACAGGCTGTGTGAGTATAACTCCGTGAAAAAATTTAACAACGATATGCAAGAAGCTTTAAGGGTGTATAATTCTGAACAAATAATACATATTTACAGAAATATATTTCAATTCGTATTTCCTTGGTTCAGTCAATCACATGCTACATCAGAAAATATTCCATCTATGCCTTATAGCCATATTCAACTAGGACATCCTCAAACATACAGAACTCCTACATTTAACACAAATGATTTTGATAATCGCAGATGCGAACTTTGCCAAAATACAGGTGATGGATTAAGTCATCAGGAATCGAGGTTATTGTACTGTGGGAGAAATACTTGGGTTCACGCCAACTGTGCGTATTGGTCTACAAACGTTCAGGAGCAAGTAGACAATCATCTACAAAATGTGATACAAACAATAGAGAACTCTAAAAGTATTCGGTGTACAGTTTGTGACAAATTTGGAGCCAGTATCCAGTGTCATACTTGCAGATCTTTTAAATTCCATTTTATGTGTGCAAGAAAAGCTGACTTCAAATTTACATTAGTGGGTAAAACTTCCTTTTGTTTTAAACATTCTGCAAAAAATTCTGACCATATTCTGAAAACTGAGGGTGAGTTTGAAGTTAACCAAGCTTTATTTATCGAACAGTATCCAAAAGATGTCTTGAGGGCTGAACCAGAAAAAGTGACATGCCTTATAGGATCCCTATGTGTTAGAACTCTAGGAAACATTGAGCCAGTATTATCTGACACACCAGATGCCATTATACCATCAGGTTTTTCATGCTCAAGACCATTCTGGTCAACAAAAGAACCATGGAAATTGGTTACTTACATAATTACAACTTCAGTACAAAATCCTAATTGTACGACACTTACAGTGGATAAAAATTTTACAGTAGATCATTCACTGGAAAGAGATAGTTTAGATAGGGCCTTGAAGGCACTTAATGATTGGCGTAGTGTATACGAGAAAAAATCCGAAGATGTAGATTCGGAAGATGAAGAAGAGAAAAATGGAACGGAACTTTTGTCTCCTGAACTTACGGATACACTCCTAGAAGACTTGCCTCATGATATCTTGGATGGTATTTCTGTACAAGATATTTTCCCAAATTTCAGTTATGAAGATATGCTTGGCTTGGATAATAGCTACACAGAAAGCATTGCGGAATCATTCAAGAAAAACGATGATGAAGACTCAACTATGGAAACTACCGATTTTAAATCTGGAGCTAGAGAATGGGTAAGAACCAAATCTGACGCAGGAGTTAAATCAAAAGTACCTCCTTTAAGTCTTACAGTCAGTTACAAACTGGATAGCACTCAACCACCAGCTATTAAAAAACGAAAGATATCGAAGGAAGCTTCTAATAATATGCTTCTCCTCCAAGTGGATGGTGGTTTTGATGATGATAGCTCTAGTGAGTGTGAATCGCCTACTGGGACACATATATTGAATACCTGGGCCATCTCAGAAGAACCAGTTACTTGTGAAAAATGTCAATGCACCTATAGGACACAGGCTAGCTACAAAAGACATTTGGATTCATGTGAGATGCTTTGCACAAGCGAAAGTGATTCAGAAAATATGCCAGAGCATGATTTAGCACATTGTGAAAATGAATCGATGGTACCTATGTCACAGCCAGGAGAGCTTACAGTGCAAGTGAATGAATCCAATCAACCTGTTATTATCCAAGCTTTTGAATCCTTTCAAAGTCAAGTTCATACATCTGTGGTTAATTTGGTTCCAGAGCATGCTCCAGCTCATCCAACTCCTGCACCTCCACAAGTAACGGTGCAACCTACATTCCCTATTGCAGAACAAACGCCGATTTCATTATCTGTACCTCTTTGTATTGCATCATCAATTACACCTCAAATTGTTCAGCCGTCCATAGAATATCATCAGCCTCAAACACAACCTATGACTTTACAACCAATGCAACAGGTATTGGTTCAACGGCCTCAACCTCCTCGTAGGGAACATATGATGCTCCAGCATATCCAACCAGCTCCAACGCCTAGTTTTGTACCCTTTGTTGATGCTTTTGGGCAGACGCAAACCAATCAAAGTTTACAATATTTGCAGCTGGCTCCACAGGTTCAACCCCAGACGCAGCTATTGCAAATAAGGTCTGACGGGAATGTGATTGGAATTTTGCCTAACATACAACCAACAACTGTTATTGTTCAGCAACCTCAGCATCAATTAGTGTTAGATAGTAATGGCACTTTTGGATGGGCCCAACAACCTCAACCGCAGATTTACTATGGCTTTGAGACTATCGTGCAAAATACAGTAATGCAAAGTCAACAGTTCCTTCCTACTCCAGTGCCTGGAGTGCTGGCCGCTAATAGTAGTTATAGCACTACTACTCAGGTAATCCAAACCAGTAAATTAGAGCCAGTGCTTGATGTTTCTGCAAATAGTTTTGTCCTAGTTAATTCATCCGGCCAGTTGGAGATTCCTCAACATTTCCAACAGAATCAGCCATCTACTGTTGTTACTTCTCAAACTCCTACGCTTATTTATTCTTCTCAACCGTCCAGTACTCAAAAGCCTGTTGTGACAACAACACAAAATTGCATTAGTTTACCTACGGCTCCATTTGTAACTGATCAAAATATTCCTATGAATGTTGTGCCTCCAATTCCAAAAACACCTACTTCTCATGGTAGGCCTATGAGCAGAGTATTGCCTATGCCTACTAATGGAGCTAGAGGTCAGAAAAAGATGACCGATGCCGCCAAACTATTCCCTGAAATTGAAAAACCTATTCAAATTAAGCTGGAGGATAAATATGTATTGTCTAAAGACATAACGAAGACTATTGAGGCGCCCAAAAGTAAAAACATAAAATTTGAAATCTTGGATTACAAAGTAATAAAATCTCATAACAAAATTGATACCCCACAGGTTTTCAAAGTAGAAGAGAACACTTTCAAGGAATTTGAACCTGTTGAAAAGCTTTCCAATTTATCCGCATATGAGCCTTTAAAAGAAATTGAAAAGGTCAAAATGGAAATGTTTGAAAAGCCTATTAAAGCATTAAGCACACATGAAAGAGGTGCTTATTTAAAACTAAAGCATTTTAATTCTTTCGAGAATCGATCAAAGCCTTTGCGATCACCACAAAAAGTTAAAGTTAATTTACGAGAGAAACCAAAATTAGAAATAATTAGCCACACATACCAAGTTAATCGTTGCTTGCGAAAATTTGAAAAAAGCTTAGAATTAGAAATAAATAATCATCCCACAGAAAATAACTTACAGAAATTAGAGGATAGTATACAAAAACATAAGTTTGAAATGTGCTCTCCTAAAATAAAAATAGAAAATATTACCAAAAATGATAATGAAGATCTGATTGTTGATAATATGAAAAAGGAGCAGCTGGATCAGAAGGAACCGATAGAACAACAATTACAAATCAACCCTATACTGACGCCTAAAATTGAAGCAAGTACTCCCAAGGAAATAGCCATAGATACTGCAATGCATGAAGAAATAGAAAAACCACTTAAAGAATCCATTAGGCAACCTTTAGACATGCCAAAGCTAGAGGATATTTCAACTGTAGAAAAACCTATTAGAAAGAACCAAGAAGTATATAATTGTATTAATGAACCTAAACAAAATTGTAAATTAAAATCTCCAAATCACAACATCCCCACATCACTAGAAGTTAAATTTAAGCTGACTCTTCCTAAGCCTAAAAAAGAGGAGCTTGAAAATGAAGTATTAAAACCTAGTACTATATCAAATATCAGTCCTCTAGAGCCAAAGTTACCAATTAAAAAGGAATCGGAAACGAATGGAGCGCCATCCATCGTTTACACAATGGAAAATAAAGATGAAGGCTTCAAATGTTCATCCACTTCCATCGCTGATTGTTGGGCTAAGGTTCTCGATGCTGTGCAGGCAGCCAGAGCAGCTCACAATATGTCTCCATTACCGACTGACGGTAAGCAAATGAAATCCGTCCAATTAACCGGTTTAAAGTCTAGCCACGTCAAGTATTTGGTTGAACAGTTGCCAGGTGCCTCAAAATGCGTCAAGTACAAACCTCTATTCAAGTTTACACCACATCCTCAAGATATAGCAAGTATTTGCTCACACGGATTTGGTGCAGTCAGATGTCAGCCTCACAAACATGAAAACGCAGAGCCATATGATATGTTTAGTTGGCTGTCTTCTAAACATAGGGAACCCTTTGTGTCTTTAGCTTTGCAAACTTCGGCAGTCCAGCAATCCAGGTAAGATTTTCATACAGGTCTTTTCCATCTTAATCAAAAGCCATTTATATTCTTGTGTAGAGCTAACTATATACATACACTGCTCATAGATATTGTTATGGATTCCGTGGGTTCACTAAAAACTCACTTTACAAACAATAACAACTTTTATTGAACTAATTTTGACTTTATCAAATTTCCTGATCATTTATCGCTTTTACTAAACTGTACACAGCAAACAAATCTTTTATTTTCACTGAATGACTATATTACAAACCTCGCGGTTTTTATAAATAAATCGTTTATTGACCATTTTAATCATTCAATACAACAAAATACACCTAACGGAATGAATTATTTAATAGCCGAATTAATGTCTCAAAGCTACCAGAAGTTAAGTTTAAAAAGCCATCATCTGTCAAATCATTACCAAATCTAGCAATCGAACAATAAAACCCATAATTATTGCGGTGAAAACAAATGTGAAATAACTGAGCTACTAGAAATATGAAAGGCAAGTTGCAGCAGTTTTGGATGGTCAATCAAGCCTTTCTGTATTTTCAAAATGTATAGAGATCGTTGCTATTTCTTCTTGTTTCCAACTTTTGTGAAATTAATAAGCAAGCAAGTCGTTATTTATTTATTTATTTATTTATTTATTTACGGGCAAGACCCATTAAAAGTTTCAAAAGAAAAAAACAACAAGAAACATTAAGTACCTTACAACTAAGTAAACATAGGCCAGTAATACTTGGCGTAGTAACAGGATAAAAATACATATAAATTATTAACAGTAAAACATTAAATCAGTTATAGGTATAAGAAAATAGAGGACAAACATAAATAATGACTGATCAAGATGACTAGAAACTCTTAGCTATCAAACTTGGTATCACAAACAAATGAGGAGAATTACATTAGAGAGTTAAGCTCTCTTTTAAAGCTATTTATGGGTCCAAAAAAATCCAGGCTACCATGGGTGTTACATAATCGAGAAGTTCTGGAGATGAATGTATTGAAACCATAGTTTGTACGGTGATTTCTTTCTGAGAAGGTTATGGCAGAGCGGGCGTCCCTTGCTGGGACGTGAAGCCCTATTCTGGACAGTAGGTATGCGGAATCACTAATGGAGTTCAGTACCTTGTAAAAAGTATATAAATCTCTTTGATTGCGTCTAGCTGCCAAGGGTTGTAGATTGAAGCGTCTGTATAGGTCATCATAGTCATATACATAGTTCTCAGGCGAAGGAATACCTGCCTTGAAGGCTAAATAACGTACGAATTTGCGCTGCACTAGCTCTAGGGCTCTGATATGATTAGAATACATCGGTGACCAGACAGAGGAGCAGTACTCCATCAGGGGCCTCACCATTGAGCATTAAAGGTATCTGATAGAATCTATGCTTGTAAAATCTCTCGAACACCTCTTAATGAAGCCTACAAGTTTTAACGACCTTGTTGTGATGTCTGAAATATGGGTAATAAAATTGAGACTGCTGTCAAAAATGACACCAAGATCTCGTTGTTGTGAGACAGTTTCAAGCGGAATGTTGTTTATATGGTACGCGAATTGTGGAGGGCTACGACCCTTGGAGAAAACAATGGCTTTGCATTTGGAAGCATTGAGCTCCATGCCGCTCAAAACGCACCACTCGGAGAGTCTGTCGAGGTCAGATTGTAGTCTGGCACAGTCTTCAATAGAAGAGACCCTTTAAAATTTATATCCTCCTAAGAAATTCCTAATTTATATCCGATGTATCTCAGAAACCTTTTTTTAATCTTTCCAATTAAGAGTACATATACAAAGTAATGAGAAGAGCAGACTGGACACACATACTCAATGACTGATCGAACAACTGCACAATATACATTCTTCATAGCAAGCACTTTATCAAAATCTCTAAATATCCCAAACAGAAATCCCAAAAGTTTCATGGTTCTATTAGTTATATACTCAACAGAGTTCACAAAGGTTAGACCACTATCAAAAATAGCTCCTAACTCCTTAATATAATGTGACAAAGTCTTTCCAGGCTTAAATCATTTAATTTCTAATAGTCTACATATTTTTCGATCTCATGAGTCTAAAAACTTTACATTTGTCAAGATTTAGTTTTAGGTGATTTAAGCCACACCATTTTGAGGAACTCACTAAGTCATTCTGTAAAATATTGCAGTCCAAGTCAGACGCTATAACTTGACAAAAGATGCTGAAGCCAAACTTTACTAGGACAAATTGATTTCAATGTTTCGAGTTCTCTCAAGCTATATTGTATGAATAGCTGAACCCACAATGTGATTAAAAAAAATATATATTTAATTTTGTGTATTTCTTTTATTGTTTGGTAGTACAGTTAAGGCTAGAGCTAAAGTTATTAGGGAAATAAGACCTCGACATTTTTTTTTATTATACTTGAAAATAATTATTGCATTTCATTTTTAAGACGGATGAATAATTTCTCAATGGCAATGAAATTCAAAAACCTTAAGCTAACATCGAAAAACTCCGTCGGTGTTTATAGATCTCAAATTCATGGTAAAGGGTTATTCTGTTTGAGAGCTATTGAACCCGCTGAAATGGTTATTGAGTATGCTGGAGAGGTAAGTTCCAGAGAACAAAGTCTATATTCTATTGTCAATAATTTCACATGACCTGTGTTTTTTGATAGGTTATAAGATCCATATTGACGGACAAAAGGGAAAAATTCTACAATTCCAAAAGCATAGGTTGCTACATGTTCCGGGTTGATGACAATTTTGTTGTTGATGCGACTATGAAAGGGAATGCAGCTAGGTTTATTAATCACTCTTGTGATGTAAGTATGAACACACGGCATGGATTATTTATATTTTTGGCGTTTGGACGTTGTTGGTAATTGATTATTATTACAGCCAAATTGCTATTCGAAAGTCGTTGAAATTATGGGACACAAGCACATTATAATCTTCGCTTTAAGACGAATTATGAGTGGAGAAGAGTTAACATATGACTACAAGTTTCCTTTTGAAGAAGATAAGATTCCTTGCACGTGCGGCGCTAGGAAATGCCGCAAATTCCTCAATTGAGGGTTTCTGTTTATTTCAGGTACTTTTTTGATTTATGTATCAGCTTCCTGTAGAAACTTAGATGTAAATTTAGAATTATTATGGATTTACTGAAGCTCATAATTTAGGTCTAAACCTTTGAATGGATACTTTTTGTTGTTTGTAAATATAAGCAAATTTAAGAAGGAAAAGTAATTTTGTAATAAAATAATTAAAATTATCTCCTGAGGGATAGCACATCAAATTCTGGCCCTCATATGTGTTAGAGACGTTGCTTGAAAAGAAAACCTGTTTGTAAACTCTGCGGGCCAGAAGAAGATTAAATAGTTTAACTAAGATTTTAATCATATTATTACTGGTAAAACAAGGACATGTCACACAATACTGTGTATGTTGCAGGGTTCTGTATTCTGTAATCTGTACTAGTTGTCAAGAGAAGTTCATATCTAAGTATATTTTTTTGTAGGCGTACAGGGTTATCCAAACTTTCCTTCAAATCGCAGGTTCATTATTTGTCAAAAAAGTCAAAGTCAAAAAATGCTTTATTGTCTAAGAACAAAATTCTCGTTGACAAAGCTGTAAAAGGGAAAAAAAAAACATTATACAAAAATAATTCCAGGGCCATAGAGTACCAAGATTGAAATAATCAAAATAAAAATACAATACAAGGTCAGACTAAAACAATAAAATCATTTAAACAGTCATTAAAACAAAAGATGAAGTCACTTTAAAAATCAACATAAATATAAACATAAATCAACATAAATACAAAAACATGTTCATTCTAAAATATAAAATACAAAATATCAAAATTGCACAAACGTAAAGTCAACAGACATAGAAGTCATTAAATAAAACTACAAATTATATTCAGACAGTCACAAGAAAGCATCTTGGAAAAATTCTTCTGTGCTATAGTAGGCCTTTGATAATAGAAGCCTCTTAAGATGTACTCTAAATTTTTTACCAGATACTATCTGTCTCAGATGCAGTGGCAAATGGTTAAAGATCTTTTTACTTTGATAGATTATCGAGTTTTTTGTTTGTGTGGAGGAAGGGATAGGAAGGTTCACATTGTGTGTTTGTCGAGTGGTATGTACAGATGAAAATTCGTGTATGTTTTCCTTAAACTTTTTATGAACGAGACATGAAGTCTCTAGTAAAAAAATACTAGGAAATGTAAGCAATTTATGACGCAAAAACAATGGTCTACATGAGTCTCGTAATCCTATCTTAAACATATACCTTACCGCCCTCTTTTGCAACACAAACAACATATTAAAGAGAGACAATGAACAAAAACCCCAGAAACATATTCCATACCGCAAATGGGATTCAACGAGAGCAAAGTATGCACTTTTTGTTGTCCCAAGATCTAGCTTACTCGATGTTACTCTGATTGCATAACATCCTGATGACACCTTTTTGCTCACGTATGTTAAGTGAGGCTCAAATTTTAGTCTATCGTCTATGTATACTCCTAAAAACTTACTCGATTTTTGACTGGCAACAGTATCTGCCCCTAAGGTAATTCCCTCAAAACCACATTTAAATGTTAACACATTTGTCTTCGACACATTAAAAGTTAAACAATTCGCATCAGTCCATTCTTTTACCTTAACTAAATCATTATTGATATCCGATTTAAGCTGTTCTACATCCTTATTTACCCAGAGAATCGTGGCATCATCGGCAAACAGTGTAAATACCCCAACTATATCAATGCTAGACAGATCGTTGATGTACAATAAAAATAATAGAGGTCCCAAAACAGATCCTTGTGGAACTCCTGCACTTATAGCCAGTTGTTCTGAATCAACACCATCAAAAGTAACTCTCTGTGCCCGTTCAGAAAAGTAGGACTCAAACCACTTTAGAGCTACCCCCCTCACCCCATAGGCTTCCAGCTTACATAACATTATTTTATGATTGACACAGTCAAAGGCCTTTGACAAATCACAAAAAACCGCTGCTGCGACATCACCGTTATTTAATCCCAAATATAGTTTCTCCAAAAATGCGAAAATTGCATCATTTGTGCCACATGACTCCTGAAATCCAAACTGTTCACAACAGAGAATACTATGTTTTTTAAGAAAAAACATTAGTATACTATCTCTGGATAAACAAGTTTTCAACCTACATCAATAAAGGCATGTTTCATTACCTCGCCTGTTGCCTCACTAGTTGCCTCGTGCGGAGGAATTCTGATGTCTTCGAAATTCAAAATCTTTGGGCAGAATCATAATAATTCGGTCACCAAAAATATCTGTTATTCAATGTTTACACATTTTAACTGGCTTCAAGAAAATCTGCCATCACTGTTCAGTTCACTTCAGTTATTAGGCAACACATAATTTATTTAATGACTTATCTCTTTCTAGCTCATTATTTCTTATGATGGAGAAACCGAATTTATTTTTTTTTTCTCAAAAACTATTGAAGGTAAAGCTATAAAATCCTATATCATTGAAATCAGCTTAAAAAAGGCTATGCAATGAAAAAAATAATATCCAGGGTACCCCGTTTAAAAAAACATAACTTTAGTTAATATTCCAAAATCGGTGGCATCTGGAAAAAATTTGGTCATGCATGGATTCTACTTGAAAAATTGCCTATAGAAAGTTTATTTCGTTTTTGGAAATCTTGATTAATAAAGAAATAAGAAGGTCATTTGAAATTGGACAAAATTTGAAAAGTGCCCTGTATTCCCTAAACGAATCAAGTTAGCCGGGATTTGTCTTCGCCATTGTTATTTTCTCGAAAAAAGAGCTCAAGAATGTGCTCCCAGATTTTTGATCTCTGTTGGTTTGTGATATAGCCCATTAAAACATCGAAAATGGGCCACCCTGTACAGTTTTATAATATTTAGTTAATTACATATTTGTTCTTAAAACACAGGGAACAGGCTTTTCTGTGTATAAACTAAGTAAGCTTACAAGGTTATTGGACCACTAATGGAGTTACTGTGAATTTCTCTTGATCTGATACTACCTATACGAGCAGTAGGAAATCTGAACATGCACAGGATGAAATATGGTGCTCCATGTCCTTCATATTTTGTTGATGCTTCAATTACATTATAGATTATTTATTATGGCCTACTAAAGTGAAGTTGAATATAACGCAACTTTTGCTTGATGTATTTTTATGGCCTTTCTAGCTTGCAGAGAAGAAGTGTAACATGTTAATTATAGATCTAGTTATTATGACATAGGTACTAAACTGTTTTTTTTTTAATTCCTTTTAGGCCCAGTTGTATAGTCCAAGTTCAAATAGTGGTTCATTTGAATTCTGCTACTTATTTAAAATGGGTTGCTTCCAATAAATTGACACCTCGGCATATTTCTGACAGCAATGCATTCTAAATGGCAATGTTCTATTACCAGTAGAGTTCATCTGAACCGCAGTCTCTGAGATTGGACTGTACAACCGGGCTGCATATTTTAGATTTTCGCTAGCTTGCATAGTAGGATTTTCAGTATTTGATAGCTTGTGAAATATGTTCTAGTTGGTACAATCCATTTTCCTTCTTGAAAATTGCATGAAATAATGTAAAATAAAAGTTGCCATGTTTTTCTAACATTATCCCTTTAAAAGGGAAGTATCTGTAACTGTTGAACAGATTTATCAATGTAAAAAATATTGTATTTTTTTAATTTGTACAGAGTGTTCTCCTTGTGTCAAGCACCTACATGGCTATTTAAAGCAAATCATCTTTAAAGTTAGAGGTAGATAGGATTTTTTTGTAAAGTCAGTATTTGAAATTTTGTAAGTTCGGCTGTGAGTTTAAATGCATTTGTGCCATTGGCGATGTAGGTGCTCGAATTAAATGTCTTCAGTTTGTTGTGGTAGCCAAAGAAGACTGTGATTCGTTATTATGTGTTACTTTAGTTTTCACATTCTTTCACATAGTCTTTGGTTACTGTTAAAATATCTGATGTGATATGTTGCGTAGTTTTTCATGTTTTTCTTTCTGGAAGCAAGCGCGAGATGCTTTTAAAAAATATTTAGTCATCTAGTTATTTACTTCAATTTCAAACTGTTTTGATACTAATATTGTCAAGAAGAGGTAACTGGATCTGATGGCATTTTTATTTGCTGCTCTCTTTTTGTGACTTGTGTATTTAAAGTGTGTGTTGATAAAAAAAAGATTTTGGGAAATATATTTGTAAATCTCTATATTATTTATTTTTGTAAAAAAGATAAATACATGTTTAGACAGAAGCTTTACATACATTATGTATATGACCTTATTTTTGTATAATAATAAACGAGGTAGTTTTCTTATCATCTACAACATAGTGTACAGTTTATAAGAATAAGTAAATTAACAGTTTTTTTATTGATAAGATCTTTTAATTATAACATAAACATTAATTGTAATTTTTAAGCTAACGCATCACATTATAAGAAAATAAATCATCACCTATATTTATACAATATGTAAGTTTTTATATTCTCACATGCTATTTTTTTTTCTTGTGAAGCTTTAAGATTTTTTTAATCAAATATCTGATTTTGAATTTCTCTATTCCTACAACAGATAGATTCACGTGTTGTTTTATTTGTTATATTAAAAACAGGTTTTGTTAAATTCAATTACGCAAATAAACCTTGGCATAGTCTAAAAGGCAAAAAGACTAATAATTTTTAGCTTTAATATATGAATGACAATATTAACATATCAATATAAATCCCATGGGTGGCAGTGGTCTACCATGTGATATGAGGCCTTCTTAGGTAGTCTAATGGTTGGTTGTTAATGGGATGTTGATTTAGTGTTTAAAAATGTACATTTAAAACGATTAATCACTTCCCATTTTTGGTGCTTAATAATACTCAGTGTCGTTTTCCAGCAGCTGTGCTATAAACATGTATTTACTATGTCAAATAAAAGATAATCTCAGAGTTTTCTTTTTTATTTGTTCTGTGAGTTAAAATCTAGGATGTTTGTATGAACCTGGTAGATTTTACTCAGAAGATGGAATATGATAAAAATACACAGAGTTTCTCTACCTATTATACTACTTATGTCCAACCTTTGTTTGTGTTATAAAATTATTAGTGCTTTAGTAAAGAATATACTGCATCAGTTGGGACTGTCAGAAACAGTGAGTAAGTAGTTGCTAGCCGATGACCAGTAGTAGTTGCAACTATTAAAACTATTGAATTCCATTATTTTTATGGAAGAAATTAATTTGATAGTAGTTTCAAAAATTGGCGTGAATGCCAGAATCATTTTATCCTATTGAAGCGAGAACAGTGAAAGTGCCTTTAAGATCAAGACATGTAAGTAGTGACGGAGAAATATGTTAAATTTTATACAGTAGAAGCAGTCTCGTTTTCTATCAAATTACAGCGGCGTTGTCTGATTTGAATTACCGAATCGCCGCTATGGGTAGCTGGTTATATTTAATATCACTAATAATCTTCATTTACGGTAAAAACCCATTTAAACAAGTACAGTCGTGAGCATTAAAAATGGGACACCCGGCGATTTTGCGTATTGTAAAACGGGCTCACCAGCAACACCGTCGGCAATGACAGAGATTGTCATATTTGACAAAAAATCCGTTCTACAGAAAAGACTGATTTACCCAAAATAGCGAAAAATGACAAAGCCTGTCAGGGTGTCCCACTCTAATGCTCACGACTGTACCTACATAAAATAAAAAGCAAAATTTTTCTACTCATAAATTTGACACTAGCGAGTGCTTTAGATCTAGCTAAAAGTACATATATCAGAGCAAAATCAAAACGTTCCACGACACCATTGGCCAAAATCGGACAATTACGTCCCTATTTGGTGCAGCGCTATAGGACCGACATAAGGTTTGGGCGAGCCTCATCTTCCTGGGAGGTACCTGGCGTGAAAATTTACCATTCCAAATCGCACCACAGGATGAATGACATTAGAAGTTGCTTCAGAGAGTTAAAACACTATAGCTTTTCGATGGCCCATAATGTTTGACCTTTGCCGATCTCCTATTCTTTCAACACGAAACCAAATAATCCTATTCGTTCTATTATCGCCTTATTAGGTCTATGAGAGTATTTTTTACACCTTGTGTTTCTTTAGTTCTTTCAAATTTTAGTTGGTAGGCCCATTTATTTCAAGAAGCTCCATTGACCATTGGTATTTGATGAATATTGAAAAACCGCTAATTTATTTAAAAAATAATAAAATATATTTCAGACATAACTTAGGCCAAGAAATTATCTTATTGCTATAGGATCTTTTGTCGGAGGGGATGAAGTCTGCTGAAACTCTTTTTTAATATCTTCTGGTATGTCTGGTGTCTTTTTAATTTCAAGTTGCTGGTTTGTAGGTTTTGAAAGTTTGCCTAAGAAAAGAATCGTTCCAGTGGTATCGTCTTGAATGAAAAATAAAAATGGATGGCTCGCGTTGAATACGTTCTCTGGTACTCCGATTTTATTTCCGATAATAACATCTGTAAGATCAGGATTAAGAATATGATAATATTCATTAGAGAAGACATTGAATACTAACCTGTTGCTGCAAAAGTTTCACTACCTTCTTCATCTACATCCACGCTAGCTGACTGTAATATATCTGATACAATAAGCTCATCCGTCAATACTGAGCTATTGCCTTCTGCTATACCAGGGAAACTAGCAGTATTTTCAAATATTTCACGAAATTCAAACTAAAAATTTAAATTTTTTCTATTTAGCTATAGGTATAATAATTTAAAATATTAAACATAAATAATAGCGGTAATTATTATTTAGTTAGGTACCTGTTTTAATATATCCTTATAACTAGCTTTTAGTTTGAAAGAAAACTTAGGTATGGTGACAAGGACTGGGGTTTTAGCAAGATAATACAACTCGCGATGAAGTGTCAACAAGTTGATATTTTTTATTAAATTTGGAAGCCCTCCTTTCGAAAATGGTAAAATGAAAAACATTGAAAACTGATTGCCCTTATAAGGCATTCGTAAAATTCTGGCTTCCAGCCGTTGCGATTTGAAATAATAAAATGAGCTGGAGGTTGTCATATAAGGAATATATACAGCCATTTTTGACTCTGGATCTGAAAAAAATCCTGCAATGTGCGTTTCATTTTTGGGAAATGTGTGCCTCCAAAATCCTTTGAAATATATTGCATTAACTAATAATGCTGTCATATCTTTTATATCATCTAAAACACAAGTTTATCATAATTTTTTTGGATTTATTCAAGAAAAAAAAAATTACCTGGAACAACAAGTTGTTTTAAGGCACCCAGTGTCGATTCAGAAGCCCAAGAATTAATTTTATTGGCTGACATCTCGGCTTCAGTGAAATTTGTGCATTCCACATTGGTTTCATAATATTCTTTTATTCGTTTGGCAAATAACTCTTTTATCTTGAGCCTTGAATCCAAATATAATTTGGTATTGAACTTTAATATATTTCTACTTTCTGGACTCACCTTTAAAACAAAATACTATAAATTAGTCCAAACACAGGAGATGGATCGTGCGAATTAAACGTTTTTTACTTTGTGATTTAAACCTCTAAGCGTGGATGAGTATCAGCTCTAAAATTTGAAATAATTATGGGGGTGATATATTTCTTAACATTCCTATCATTCCCATCAACCTGGCAGGCTGGTCAAAACTGAGAAGTCATCATTCTTTGAATAGGTACTAAAGCGATTTTAAACTTAGAAAGGTACGTATAGGTTTATGTAATTATGGTAAAAAAAACTCCAGATTTATTTGCGTATCGATATCTTTTTTATTTTAGAAAATTTCCAATTCTGAAGTTGGAAATTAGTTTCCCTTAGCAGGGCTGTGTATCCGCTAAGGTTTCAAGAGGGATGTGTGTCACGCTATACCTCCTTTTTGATGTTATTTTACTCTAATAACATCTCAATTTAGTTGATAGTTAATGGGCTCAATTAATTAAGTGAAAAAAAAAAGAACAATTTCCTACAATATTAACTAGCTGTTCATATTGACGCTGATTTTAAAGTAGGTAGCTGCGATTGCAAACTCGGGAGTTCTAATCAGGGTACAATACTGAACTAAATGCTAACGTAACTGCAAAGGCCACGAACAACTCACAGCAGAGATGAGGCTCTTCATACTTATTTTTGTTTGAAATTTTGAAGTTGTTAACGCTCACCATCACTTGAGAGATCGAATAAGAAAAAATGGCGACTAATTTAACTTGAGTAAGTATTTATACATATCCATTGTTCCTAAAAATACTTACTTACATGTAGAGATTCAATAGTATCTTTGGTTTTATTGCGGACACTTTCTTTGGATAAATATTGCAACGCATTTTCAAATTCTTTTTGGGTTTTTCCACTGGATGCTTCATATAATATTCCCAATACTAGTTTTAGGCTTGTGGGAGAAAATAGAACATTTTCTGATTGTTGAGAGAGAATCTATAACATCAAGTCATAAAAAATTGAACATTATCGTTCATCATGTATACATACCGTCAAAACTTTCCAGTCAAAAGTATCAGACCATTCAAAAGGTGGGTAAAAAGAATCCTCCTCGATATATTCGTCTGGTATATTTTCACTGGTATTGTTACTCGTACATATTAATTTAACACACAAACCTAAAAATATTTTATTACATTAAAATAAAACTGGACCGTGACCGTCGTCGATCAGATCGCAGATCGAAATATACAGGTTGAAGAATTAGTTACTCCTATATCCTTTAAATTTATTTTTTCGCAACGTTTCGATTGTTGTATATCTACAGTCGTTAGATTATGATCTTATGCAAAGTAATGGTGCATGTATAGGGATCTCGGTTGGTATGCATCGTCGTATAGGAGATACAGAAAAAAATAATTGGAAAATTGGGGAAGTTTTGAGCAATTTTTTGACTTATCTGGAACCACTCGCCTATGGGACCACTGGGCCCACTGGCCAAACATACATCTGGGTTGTTACCTTTTAATTGATGAAGCGCTTAAAGAAGAAATATCGAGCTTTTTTAATTTCTTGTTTTGGTGGAATTTGACAACATCTTGCTTTAGGTAGGTATTATATGGTATCTTCCATCTTGACGTTTCAAATAATTTTTAATTGAGAGAAAATTCGTTCCTTTCTACTATCACCATTTTAAGAAAAGCTCGAAGAATGCAACCTAAATAATTTGGAATAGGTTCCTATGTATTTCCAATTCGTTAGCATGGTTGCTGAAGATATCGTGGTGTTTTTCTATGTACAATGTATGAATGTATGCATATTATTCCTGTGTTGGTCCATAGTAGGTACCTGATCTGTGTTAGTTGTCCTTTGCCTCTTTGTTCAGTGATTCTTTCATCCCAATATTATGTATTATTCTTTTTGGTTATTTAGCCCAATATTCTTTTTGGTTATTTAGCTTTGTCTTTGTCAGCTCCTAGGTCAGTGCTTTTCTCAATGTTGTTCTCGAGCTGAATAGTGTTCTTGTGCTGTATTTTTATTCAATCCGTGGTATTCAGTTCGAAAATCCTTTTTGTATGAAACGTTCAGTGCTGGTTGGAAATAAGATCTCATTTGACGTGTTGATTTTGCCGGTTACGTGCTTTTCTTCAGTGCTGCAAAATGCTCCCTGCTTGCCTCAGTTATGAATTGATATCGGCTTAATTATTTAGTAGTTTGATCAGAAATTCAAATATTGATCTGTGTGTGTTAATTTTCTGTAGGTGTTGTATGTTGTGTTGATGAATCCATTATTTTGTGGCGGCATGGCAGTACGTATAGAAAAGGCTGAGGTTCTGGCTAAGAAACTGGCATGAATATATCTTATCCATATAGCTTTGGATTGAGATTCGTAGTTTCAATTGCTTCATATAGATATCAGCTAGTGATAATGATTTAATTAATTTTTTAATAATTTAGACGTTTATTTAATACAAATTTTTTTTGTTATGTACAAGTAAGCAAATAATACTAATAGTAGAGTGAATGGGTTGAAATATTCGCTTTAAAAATCGATTTACCTCCCACTTTTTTGTCACAAGCTGAACTTTCCAGGGATCAAAGTTCATGACAAGGCAACCCCCATTCCGGAGGCAATACAAAACTAGACTGTGCAAAAGGGCACCATCATCAAAAATCGAGACATTGATACCTCCGTACAAAGAAAAAAACACTCCATCATTGGTCCAATGTAACGAAATGACAGCTTGTCAAAATCTTGGAAATAGACTATTGTTTTAGTGGGAGTAAAAGTGATACATACTTATACCTCCCTTAATAAAAATACTTGAAATTGAAGTTTTTTATTATTATATTAATTAGTTGTACACGTGAATTGTAAATTGTGTGTATTTTTATTAAGGGAGGTAACTACCGCTCCTACTCCTACTAAAACAATAGTCTATTTCCAAGATTTTAACAAGCTGTCATTTCGTTACGGATAAAAATGATAAGACGAAATTCTAGAGTCATAAAAAGCTCGATGAGACCTTTAAAAAGAGATATGACACGACACGACCCCTATCCGCTATTCAAATTTGGGGGTTGTTCTCCCTCTAGCTAGGCGGTTGAAGCTACGGGGATGAAAAAAACTTAAAAATATTTCCCTCTCAAATTCAAAATCGACGTGTCCGAGCGTTTTTCCATATTTTCATTTTAAATCCAATAAATCGGGGTGGATTGTTTTTCCTGGGACACCCTGTATAACAATAACCCCTGCGGACTTGGTGTTCCTTATTATCTGCACCTCACACTCCCGTTACTTATTATACCTTCTGTAATTTTTCCGATAGGTACCTACATGATCAAAAAATCACTTCTTAGTCGAAGTATTTATGATGTTTCTATGCACCGATTGAATAAAATAAAAGTAGGTAGGCAAATGATTGAAATTGCAATTCCGCAACATTTTTTAAACACAATAATAGCTATTTAATATTTAAATCAACTCACCTAATAGGAAATAACGCAGCAACATTCTGTAAACAAATCACGTCTAAACTAAAAATTGTTTATTGGACTTGATGACCCGAGGAGATTCTGTAAAATCCAGTTAGTCAAGGTCCGGTTTACGCTTCAACTAAAGCAAAGATGTCCGAAGAATCCACTAAATCGTGAACACATTATTAATAAATAATTAGCTTTTCTTATCATTAACGTCAGCGTTTGTTGCGAATACAAACTGCGCGACGATTGAAGTGACATTATTATAGTTACTAATAATCATACTCAATATCTAGTGATCGCATAATGATGATTAGGTTACTTTTATTACTTCCATAGGTGATATAAAAATGTATTTTAGGCAATAGACAGTAACTTATAATTTCGAATAGGTAAGAATAAATCTTTACAGAAAATTGTCTGAAATGATACTTTATAGCTGTGCTTTATACTTCAGTAAGTAAGAATAGGCATAAAAAAATATTATTAGGAGAACCGAAGTAAAAATCCCATTTATATTTTGGTAAACAATTGCTCTTTGAGTTTGATAAACTTCCAAGACTTCCTGATGGAATATTTCTGTCTGACTACTGACGAGTACCGACAGATAATGACAGCTGGCTGAGGACATACCTGGAAAAAGGAAATATTGAGTAGAAAGTTTAGGTAGTGATTGATTTGCCTGATTTTCAAATAGGCTGCATTAAGTTCCTTTAAATTGGATTAATTAGTTGGTAAAAATCGCATGGGATATACCTACCTAATTCAAATCAAAGTTTTATACATTTATTTAACCCTTTTCCTTTCAGCCAAAACACTGCATTGCAGAATAATCAAGTAGATACCTACTTATTGTAAATCAATAATTTAAATAATTTTGACATCATTGAAAAAAGAAGCTTTATATCATATTCATTATCCATTATCCATACATTGAAATGGAGTGGCATCCAGAAAAAACCTGTTATCGTAAGAACTGGTTAATTTGTACTTTCAATAACAACAAAAAAAAAGGACCTTGTAAAGAAAATTTAATGAACTCTTTAACGTGTTGTACCCATACCTACCTATAACAACCAAATCCCTTTCCATTTGAGATTTTTAGAGGTTGCACTTGGGATGGTAAATTTGAAAAAACCTGATTGGGCTGAGCGTTTCACCCTGTATAATCATTGAGAATTGATCTTTCTCCATTTTCGCTACCCTAAGTCCATTTATTTTTGTTGATTCCGCGGATGGTTCCTTGTGAAACATAATTTATTCATGTTACATGAAAGTTAATATAGTTGGGTATCGTTTGATATTACAGCATAATTTTCTTGAGAAAGGCTAGATTTGAACGTAGGTACCTGATGGACGAACATATTACCTTGTGATGATAGATGACGCTACCGATACCAACGAGAATTATATATTTCAAGTTGAGTGATCTCCACCATAGATGGCACTGAGTTCTCTCTCAATTCCAATGCCAAATATTTCAGTACCTGACGAGTTAGAAAATCTGAGACCAGTGAGCATTCTGCCAAATTTTTAAAAGGCCTTGGAACTCATTCTGGAGAACCAACTAAGAGAATGTTGTCATTTGTCACCTTCATGAGTTGATGCCTGCAGTTCAGTCTGATTTCCGCGAAGATTATAAATCAACCTCCAGTCCTTTGAAAGTAACGGATAACATCCTCATGCTCAGGGCTACCAAAAAGTATACCAACCAAAGTATTTTCGATTTGTCTTCAGAGGAATCTTTTTTTTTAATACCTATTACCTATTGTTCCGCTTACAAAAGTTAAAGTCTACCTAAGCGGTACCATGAACGGAAGAAATCAAGTGACAATTTTAACCCTCCGTTTGAGCACGTAAAAGGTTAAATCGTAGGAAATGAAGTAGAAGTGGGTGGCAGGGAGTTCCAGAGTTGGGCAATACGCCACCAAAAAAGAAGCTCTATAGGTACCTACTATATTTAAAGGTCCTCGGGGTAGCCAACTTTACCCCATACGGATCGGATGCCTGTGAGGTTCTTGTGGTTCTTGAATTAGGTACTTCTCCTAGCTGGAATGAGGCTGGCCAGTCGTCAGAACATTTCCCATGGTAATAGGGATAGAATAACGAGAAGTCTTCTGCGTCTATGTTCGAGAAATTCCAATATGAATCGGTGAGAGTTGGATTATCCATCATTTTCATTGCTCTTCATGCAGTACACTAATAGAATAGAGCAAATGAATTCTTGGGAGCATCGCTATAGATGTGAGAACAGTATTCCATACATGGTCTGATTTGCATTAAAAAGAGATTCAAAGACGTCTTTAAGACATCTCGTTGAAAACGTCTTTAGAATGTCTTGGAAAAATGTCATAAAGACGTTTTCAGGTAGACGTTTGAAGGCGTTGGGTTTTGTAACATACGACGTCTTCAAGATTTCTTAAAAATGTCTTGAACACGTAAGCAGACGTCAAAATAGAAGTTATTGGAGACCATTTGCTACACGAACACTGTAGAACTTTAATAGCCTTTTGGAAAGTTCAAAACACTTAAAATTGAATCCAGAATTTCCAAAAGCATTCCATAGTGCTTCAGAACAATTTGGAAACTTCATAACCATTTTAGAATGCTCCAAAACATTCAAAAACCGATTTACAATTTCCAAAAGCATTTTAGAACAATTCAGAAGTTTGCAAGCCATTTTAGGACGCTCAGGATAAAAGTTACAAAATGCCATTAAGAAGGCGTTCAAGAGCGAATTGCTGTAGAGCTTTAAACCTTTAAATAAGCATCGAAAACAGTTCAAATCCAAATCAGAATCTTCAGGATCATTTTGAACCAATTTAGAAAACTTTGGAGCTTCAATAGGGTTCTAAAATACTTAAAAATCTTGTCAGAACAATTTATAAATTACTGAAAAACTTCTAAAAGGCTCCCAGAACTTGTCAAGGCAAGTTAGAACACTTTAAAACTTCAATAGACCATTTGAAATGTTCCACTTCCCAGCAGCATTTCAAAAGGCTTCAGAACAATTTAAAAACCTCAGAATTATTTCAGAGAGCCTAGCGCCTGGAATAGACAAGAACTGACAGTTATAAAATGAGCAATAATAAGGAAATATTAGCAAGAAAATGCAATTCAGTAATAAATGAAATATTAGTCCTGAAGATGTCTTTAGGCAGACGTCTGAAAGACGCTGAGTTTTGTAACATACGAACGATTTCTTCAAGATGCAAGACGCCTTGAAGACGTAAGCAAGCGTCTAAAAGACCTCTTGAATGTCATTTGTGGACATCTTAGGAACGTCTTTAAGGTGACTCTGTGCTGTCTGGGATCATTGTTGATATAGAGTGAATCTGTTCTCTAGCGAGGCGCGTGTAAGTGGCTGCAGTAAGCGGTTTATCATAAGAGAAAGATGCGATCAAGCTCTTATCGTGCACAAATCTGTATACCTATGGGGTTTATTTATTTTATCTATTCGAGTTTTTTTGTTTTCCTACCATTTCGAGTAGGTATGTCACTCATCGTAGTCTGCGTGTAGATGATTAAAAATTAGCACCAAATTTCTGTCCGAAGTGATGCGGACAAACACTTATTTTCGCACACAATACTCATAACTTACGAAAAACAGGATTAATTTTACCTAGAAGACAAGTGAACATTTGTTATGTGTTTATATACTGAGTCCAGTGGTTCATTTAATGCCGCACACAATAACGACTAGCCGGCACAATAAATAAAAGCTATTTATTAGGGAGTCTACCTATAATTCGATTAAAAATACACGCCACTGGAACTCTTTCTCCTGACGTCTCACAACCCGCGCTGCTCTAATGTGATGAATGAGTCACTCACTGACACCTATTTTGGAATTAGAGTATTTCTATGGGAAAAATTTCCTAAATCCAGGGAAAATCACTTTGATGCCCACAATAACCATGACAAAATGATAATGATGAATGAATCTTGGTCTATCTACTAAAAATTGTTTAAAAATTTGAAGAAAAATCTTTGGAGGTTTCAATTTAATATAAAATTATACACGCCTATTTTGAAATTTGAATATAGGATTTTCCCATCGAGGATGTTCCATATCAAAGATAGTAAGAGTGCGACGTTGGTCTATTTCTTGAAGTTTCTATATATTGTAAAAATTTCTCAAATCTAGGGAAAACACTTTGACGCACAGAATACACATAATGAAATGATTGTCTGATCTTGCCAGATTTCTCTAAACTTCTCTAGAATCTAGGGGGAAAAATATGAATGATCTTGGTCTTAGGTCTCCCCATAACCACCAAGAATTGTTCACAAATTTAAAGAATAATAATATTTGGATGTTTCAATCTAATACAAAATAATAATGTGACTAGTGGTCACATGGTGTATAGTGTTGTCAAAGATTGTGTGCACCTAAGAAACTTGGATCGTTCCCCTATAATAAACGAAAATTACTCAAAGTCAAAGGCGTGAATTAGGTAGCTACTGGGGAATTCAATAAAATGACAAGAAAAAACTGTAATTTTATTGTCTTATAATTACACTATTCACAACCTAACTTATTTACAAAGCTAAAAAGAATACTAAGTTACCACGTTTGTACCACTTTTGACAAAATCTTTTGCCACGCATCTAAAAAAACAATAACTTTATCAAGTGTGGGCTTGTTCTAGTAAAAACTTAGTTTGTTTAGATACGCTTTAAATGAAAAAAACAAAAACGTGCTAGTTTTATACTATTTTATTCTAGTTCCCAGGATTTACACTTATGTATTGTATAATGAAAATAATTTTTGAACATGAACAATAATCAAATTTTAAAAACGTATCTAAATTATAATACTGGATTGGACTCGCAAATATTTTTTTCATTTTTATTAACTAAAAAAAAATATTAATACATTCAAATTTTAGATTTTTTTGAGAATTTATTATTTCTGAATGGGAACTCAGAGATCTTAAAGGGAAGTTGTTTTGTTTGTGCATTGTATTAATTTAGGCTTGTTTGTTTGCTTTCCGATTCACTTTTTTTGCGGAAACACAATCTATAAATAATAAACTGAGAGCTTTTCAGAAAAGAAAAAAAAAAGAAGTGTATAAGTTAAATAAGTAAAAATATAAGATTTATTGTAATTCTTACAATTTATTTCTTTGGTGTGTATATTAAAAAAATATACGATCCTACATTCCAGTTTTGTAGTAAAAACTATAAGCTTGTTATATACAAAATTTTACATACACCAACTAAAAATGCTTTGGAGTAAAATATTCAATCCAAAATATTTAGTTTTCTTTTGATAATAGGTACCTACATAGGTATTTTTTATCGGTAAGCTTTATACTTTGCATTAAAAAAAATTAAAGAAAAATTTCGTTTTCAGCAATGATTAGAATGTAGCGAAAAACAGGACTAAGTAGTCACTTTTTGCATTTATAATAGGATAGTTACCTATTAAAAAATCTATCAGCACAATCCGAAGCAGTCTTAGTTAATGTATAATAAATCATCCACTTGTGATGTATATAACATTGGATTACAATAGAAATAATTTCACAAAATAAAGTGTTCTCTATGAATCGGACCAGCCGAAAATTTTTAAATCACTTGTCATACACACCACGCGCAGTTTAGGTACGTAAAGTCGAATTGAACACATTGGTTGGAATTACGCCTAATCATTTAAAAAGTATATAAAGAGTATTTCAAAAGTAAACATCAAGAAACAGTTCAAGAATCAAAAATTGCATTTTAAATATATTTATTCGATAAATATATTGAACTTTTCAAAAAAGAGGTGACTTAAATCTATATTCAATAAATATTATTTTAGTTGGCTTCTACGACACCACTACTGAACCAAATAAGTTGATTCTTGTAACATTTAAATAAGCCCATTTTCAAAGCAATTGGAAGTTTTAAAAAAATTAAAAAGGATCACAAAAATTATTATTTTTATTTTTGAAATACCCTGTATAACATTATCAACAGTTGTAACTGACAATCTGTTTTAATTTGTATAGTAAAGTAAGTGAAGCCATCCAAAAATAGAATAATTATAATTAACATTTGTTGGGAACCAAAAAATCACTATTACGATACAAGTATTTCTGTTGTCATTCTAATTATTTTCTGTTACTTGCAGCATAGACGAAGTGTTAATTCAATGTAAGTAATAATAAGGCTTTTTTAGTTCCCAAAAGCACAAAAATTATTTTAAAAAAAAAGTTAGAATATTTTTAAATTATTAAATTATAACTTTTGTAATAAATTAAATATACGTAATTCATATTATTTATATTTAGTTTACTACAACAGAAATGTTCATCAGAAGGCACGGTTCTGGTCCCTGAGGCAACCGACTACACCTACACAGGATCTGCTCACCAGCATATCACAAAAAAATTGGATGCGAGTCGTTCTATGTCATCATCGTACGACTCCATCTTAAAATGGAATGTGAAATCTATTTTAGTTCGTGCATATTTTTACTTAATAGTAAATTATTGTGGGGTCCGGACAAATGTCTAATAAGTTCGGGTAGCGACTCGAATGATAACGGACAGAAACAACAGTTGAATCGTCCAGAGTTACCGTCATTCGAAGAAATAACGTTTCTGTGTACAGAACACAAGTGTTTCAGTAAATGCGCTTTTTGCTTGAACATAGCTACGCAAAGTCTACAAGCAAAGGGTTTCTCTCCCGTGTGAACACGCAAATGAGTTTTTAAATTCCAAGACATTCCGAACTGTTTACCACAATATTCACACCTATACTCGCGCACTTGAACGGCTGGTAGAGCCTGTTTGCTTCCAGTAGCTTGTTGTAAAGGTTCCGAAATATCATCCCCCACAGTATTCGAAGAATATCCAGGAGGAGGTTCACGTGGTTCATCATTACTAGACGGAGGATTTACTTGCGTCTGACATAAGCTCCAAGCACCCCAAGGGTGCTCAAATGACTGATACGCATCAGATACCAGACCTTGATCTGCACTTGGAGGCCTGTACTTTACCACAACATTTTCAGGAGCAGAAGAAGTATCCGGATGAGCTCCAGGGGTAGGAGTATGAGTCCGATCCACTAAAAATGGAGGCGCCGATAAGGATAAAGGGTGATGGGCTGCTAATAACGGTGGAAGGTTTTTATATCTATGAGTTGTGTGATGACCGGCATCTTCGATATAAGAAGGCGAAAATGGTACAAATGGAGGATTTTGTGCAGGAGAATTATGGAAACCGGGGCGCCTTTTTCGATGGGGCGTGACCACGTAATTGTCTGGACTTTGCACCAGCGATATGAGTTTGGGGTCGGCTATGGGCGGCTTAATATGGGAGTAATCTTCTTGATGTTTAAGATCTATCGGTTCAATGTACATGCTTTTGCGCTTCAAGCGGTGATGGTGAAATTCATGGACTTTCGGCGCTATCTTCACAGACGTTTGACCTATCTTCAATGTATCCGAATTTTTTTGATCGGCTCTCTGCAACAAAAAGAAACTATAACAATAAAACATATAAGTTAATTGGAAACCAATTCAAAAGCGTTGCCGACCCATGCATGAAAAAGCATATTAATAATAATTATTTTTGTACAATGCTATAAGATTTATAAGAAGATGAGGCCAATTTTAACATAATCTCCTCTTCCATAAACTACCTACTCAATAAATAAAACCATAACTAGATTTACAAGAAAGCCAACTATGTACCATCAGAACATGTTACCTCTAAACTATTTTCTGGTTCTGGCACTACATCATCTTTTTCTAAATTCTTAGTACTAATAGATAAATTCACAGGATTAGGAGATCCATTATTTGGATTTTCCGAAGACGTTTCTTCCGTAAGATCGTCATCGTCGTCTTTGATTTCGCCTTCTTCTTTATCATCGTCATCGGTTTCTCGTTTTATCTGGATGGTGTCGGATGCCTCGTGATCACGCTCCCAGCTGCTTCCACCATCATCGGATTGACTTTTGGCCTCTTCGGAACTCGAAGACTGCCATACGTCAGACCTTATTTGGAGCAGCTCGAAAAGTTCTTGAATGCTTTCCAATTCATTCGACTAAGCAAAAAGGAAAATATAATTAATTTCACACTGTTATCATATACCTAAATATAAATGAGGTTTTATTTTTTTTTTAAATTTTTGGTAGGGGTGGGCATAAAAGATTATTGTTTTTTAAAATATTTCCTATGAAAGTTGAAAACAAACAAAAAACATGTAGGTGACAGGTCACATGACTTTTAAATTCCACCCTAAGTCTAATGAAGTAGCAGAGTAAAAATAAAACATAAACTATCCTCACAAGCAAAAAAAGATTGAAGATAAAGCAAATAAATATGATTATAATGAACAACTAACAATAAATTTTAATAAAGCCCCTGTGAAAGACAACGAAGACGCCAACGCGGCAAATGCCTGAATTACAAGGCTTACAGAGGCAACGCTATAAGAAAAAAAAACACACAAACTTTCAGTCAAAACCAAAGATTTTTCAAAAACTAGCCAAAGACAGGACCTAACAAATAACAAGAAAATTTCTGAAATCAGAAATACATAAGGAAATGGAATAATCATAGACTTACAAATAGAAATGAGATACTATAAAAACCACCAAACAATTGTAGGTATAAAATCACTACTCTAAATTAGGTATCATCAGGATTGCAGCGAAGAAGGCGACCCAGTTACAGACATTTCAATAATTGCTCGTCCCAAGGAAAAATACCAGTTCTTCTTCTTCGGGTACCATGCTATGCCACACGTCGGCGATAATTAATTTTTGCATTTCATGGGTTGAAAAACAACTAGGGTACCCTCCTCAGCATGTCCAAATATGGTTGCTGCGTGCGATATACCATACTAGTTCCTTACATTGCGGAGCTAAGAGAATACTTTTCGACCACAACCCATCTGCCTTCAACTTTTTCCTGTAGCTTTGCTATCGAATAACAAGGGTCTCTCGGTATATGTCCTAGCACAGAATATTATGAGACAATGTTTGACAATGTCCGTTAGTTGTCTTTCTATACGCCAGACGCCAGTTCTTCGCAGGACTTCAGCATTTGTCATGTGAAAGGTCCAGGGATACGCATCAACAGTAGGCGCAGTATCGACAACTCTAAAGCCCCGGTTGGATTCAGTTTTCTCTTTATGTGGCTAAATTTCAATATCATACAATACAATAGGGCATACATATTACATGTATTCGGGTGTATAGTGACATACCTCTGTGAAAAAGTTTATTTAGTGATGATTGGAGGTCTTCCAGGTTAGCTAAGAATGCCATATCATCTGCTTAGAGGATATTGTTGCTTGGGATGCCATTAATTTTGATACCTGGGGTTTTATTTTCTAACGCTAACTGAAATATGTTCACAACTTAACAGGTGACATTATACAATCGGACTCCTTTCTGCATGCCAAGGATCTCTGTTGACAGATCGCCATCAATACGAATTTCAGTTATTTGTTGTCAATAAATTACTTCTATTATTTTTATATCTTTATCATAAATAACGATGCCCCGCAATTTTTCTAATAGCGGCTTGTGCTTATCGTTATTTGATAAAATTTTCATAGTCAATAAAGCAGACGAAAACATCCTGCCTTTGGTCAGCATTTTTGCACAAGTAATTTTATTAAGGAGACTTTATCTAGTGCCAAATCGTAGACTTTAACCAATTCATTGGAATTTTCCCAGAGACATATATCACGTTGGAGAGATATGTAAGCTGTTAATATTGACTTGATTTGAAAATTCTGCATAATTAATGTCGTCATAACCCGGACTAATTATGTTCTGGCTATTTGTACGTGGATCTCTGCACAATATCTCCACGTAATTCCTCTAAGTTTCCATATAAGTTCGTCGGTAGCCTATGCCGGTCTTTCTTGTTTGCTTCCGATTGACGGCAATGCTGTTCTTACAGGTATTTGCTCCAGTTATTTCTCTATCTTTTCATGGAAATTAATGGAGTTATGCGGCCTCGTCACATTGTTTTCGGGTCCATTTCTTGTTAGCTTATTTTTCTTTTTATTAGTTTTTATCCACTAGTTTCACTAGTTGATGGACGTTTGTTTCAGCTCATTTCAAATACTATCAGTTGCAACATCTTGACCAGGATTGTTTTTTTTTTGTCAAAATTCAATTCACTTTTTATTATGTTTTCTTGTATTGCGGGTCTCAACAGGGTCTCATCAGGGTCTACACCTTTCTGATAGGAGTTTACATCTACTCGTAGGTCGTCTGAAACACGTGTGCGACTATTCTGATATCTTTTGTTACATAATATATACATTTGATTGCTTACAATATTTCCCGGTTCATCCTAAAGAGACTCCTGATAAGACTCCGTTACACCTTCGACAGCTTGGTGGCCTTTGCCTTGAAATAATAAATCACCCATAATTATATTGATATCTTGAGATTTCAAAGACTGCAAGGCTTCTCGAATTTGAGCATAAAGTTGATCAGCTTGCGTTTCTGAGTTTTCTGCCGAGGGTGAACTATATTGATGTTGATCGGCCCGGCTAGTATTTGCAGAAATATAGTTTGATCCGAATATGCCAGGATATCCCTCACAGACCTATTCATCTCCTTGGAAACAATAAATCGTTGGTACTATGTTTAGGTTATTGTTTCCGGAATTATAGGATGTGGTTCCATATTTCTTACACGTTCCACGTTTATGCGCATCTATGCCAATAATGTCAACATCCATTCTTATCATCTCCTGAATTGCCTAATCAAGTTTTCCTGTCGCAAGAGACATCGGGTGTTCCAAGTTCCAATTAGCTTTTGTGTTTTTATCATACTAGCTCGCACACGGTGAAACTAAATTAAACGAAATAGTTCCAGAATAAAAATCACAAGCAATGTCGGGCTTGGAATACCTGAAATATTGCAAATGAAATTGCGCATATCAATGAAACACAAAATCGATAGATGATGAAAATGTGGTTAGGCACTTTTGTCCAAAAAAAAAAACTTCGGAATATCTCTACGAAACCACAAAACAAAGAAGCAAATAACACAAAGAGAAGTGACTGATACACCTTTTGAGAAATACAGCGGCACAATAACATGATGGAGGTTGTTGAGAGAGAGGCGAAGTATGGAACAACTATACAACAGAGATGATACCTATGATGATCTCAAGAGCTCAAACGGTACCAGAGAACTCTAGAATGAACTGTGGGCAATGGCTGAAAAGAGGCGTAGAAGAAGCATAGGTATGCTTAGATGTTGCAAAATTAACTATCAACACAATCCGATTTCCGAAGGAGTCTCAGTTAACGAATAAATCATCTATATACATGGAATGAATCAGACCAGCCAAAAAAATGTAAATCACTGGCCATACAATAGTAAAAATTACCTTGATGCAGGCCTGTCCATTATAAAGAAAATCCAGCAGGTGTTTTAAATGGCTACTCTTGATTCCGGGTAGCAAAACGACGCTAGGACCGTAGGCGTGCACATTCTCGCCAAGGATTCTGCGCACTAACGGGCTCGCAGTCGCCATGATTAATTTGTGGGCGCTCAGGGTGGTTTTGTCATCGCAAATGAACGTCATATCGGCGTAGTTCTCTGAAGCAAAACAGGTTTTGATCTCATCAACTATGGTCGCATGATGTTTGCCGTAATGGAGGGTTAATAGGCCGTGAGAGTCTTGTTCTCCTGAGTACATGGCGAATTTCGTTGTAGGAAGAGGACCACCTAGAATTTAAAAAAAATATTTTAATAAAGCATCTCTTAACAAACAAGTAGGTTCTCAGTCAGATGATACCAATTAATATTTTAGAAGTTTTGGTACCTATGCCGAGCTTTTGACAAGATAATATTAAACTTGCTTTACTTTAACTTTCATGAAGTCTTCTTAATCTTTAATTGAGTATCTAAACTTTCTTATGCTGTATATGCTTTTATTTTCTCAATCAATTCAGGTTTTTCATGCTTTTGCAAAATATCAATGCCCGCCCATGTTTTTGAACGCTCAATTTTTCAGAAACTCTTATATTGTCGCGAAAATCTGACGGAAGCGCCAGGGTGTACAGAATTGGACAGCTGATTCTAGATTTTACAGTGATATTCGGGAAAAAGGGCTATCGCGTTTATTCTGGATTTCACAATAAATAGTAAAGTAATTAGTGTCAGAGTGTATAGTAACGTGGAATAAATTATTGTGTTAATTGGACTTTGATTTTTGGATAAACGGACCCAAAGTTTCTGTCACGCACCCCAGAGACGTGACATTGGTGTCAGAAGTGCGATATAATTCGAGGACTACAGAGTAAAATCCAATTACAGAATAAGTTCGGACACTAAGTGAACACTGGGACAGTTAGTCAGTGTAAGCAGTGAAAATCACCAAAAGAGACTTAAGCGATTGTGTAAATTACCACGGAAGTGACTATATACCCGATTTTGACTTCACCGACGTATTTACTATATCATTCAATCGACATTCAGAAAAGACATTTCAAGAAAATTCTAGAACATTCTATTCGAGAATAAAGCGAGATATCCAATTTGTGACTTCACCGACGTGTTTGGACCTTCAATCAAAGACCAGGGAAAATATTTGAAGAAAGATTGAGGGAAATTCCTGAACATTCTGTACATGCCTATTACGAGATAACAAACAAAAATGGAAGAACAAAAAATTGAAGAACGTCTGCGCAAAATGTTGGAAACTCAAGAGACCAAACAACAACAAGAAAAACAAGATGAAGAAGCTAAACAACAAAAAAAAATAAGAATAAAAAGCTAGACAACCACCTCAAAGTATGCCAGTAGCTAAACAACAGGAAGCGGAAAACCAAATTGATAAAATGCTTCAAGAGGGAATTACTGAAGAGTCAAATAGTCCGTGGTTTGCGCCAGTAGTATTGTGGTTACAAACATAGATGGAAGTCTTAGATTTTGTGTGGACTACTGTAAGCTTAATGACGTCACCAAGAAGGACAACTTTCCTCTTCCAAGGATAGACGATACATTAACCACTCTATCGGGCTCCAAATGATTTTCCACCTTGGATCTTAAGAGCGGATAGTGACAATACACAAAAATAACAAAGAGAAAACTGCCTCCAGTACCGGAAGCGGGTTATACCAGTTTAATGTAATGCCTTTCGGATTGTGTATTTAATGCTCCCGCTACGTTTGAGCGGCTGATGCGTCTAGTTTTGCGAGGCCTTACATGGAGAACTTGTCTGGTATATTAAGATGATGTCATGATCATAGGATCGTTCCAAGAACATCTCAATAACCTGAAAGAAGTTTTTGACCGCTTCCGGAATGCCAACTTGAAACTCAATCCAAATAAGTGTTTTCTACATATTTCACAAGAAAGTGAAATTAGGTCACGTGGTATCTGAAGATGGCATACAAGTTATGGAAGGAAAAATAGATGTTGTCAGGTATTGGCCAAAACCACGCGACACGCATGAGTTTTCTAGGAATATGTTCTTATTATCGAAGATTTGTGGAAGGATTCGCCAATATAGCTGCTCCACTTCCTCGATTAACGGAAGAAAAATCAACATTCAATTGGACCCAAGAATGCGATTCCGCATTCAGGAAATTGAAAGGAGCATTATGTACAAGCCCAGTGTTGTCCTATCCCGATCAGAAGGGCATGTTGATTTTAGACACAGATGCACGCAACACCAGAGCATGTCGTAGAGTACTACAGAAGAACGAAATTATTGTGTCATCAGAAGAGAACTGCTCGCCATAGTAAAAGCAGTCGACCATTTCTATAAATATCTCTAAGGTCGTAAGTTTCTGATTCGAACGAATCACGCAGCTCTAAAATGGCTTTTAGAAATGAAAACTCCCGAAGGACAGCTTGCTAGATGGATTGAGAAATTGCAGCAATACGATTTCCAAATTAAACAACGACCTGGAAACCTGCATAAAAATGCAGACGCTTGCACTTACGTTCCAACTAGGTGGCGGGGACGTAGCGACGTCGTCACCACTACTTTATAAGATTTGTTCCCTCCTATTTTACTTGGGGGTATTCGCCTTTGCTTTGTCTTACATATTTCGAAAGAGTTTAATATCCCATCATTATTTAGCCTCCTAAACCTTTTTTATTTCAGTAAATTATTGTAGAGGTACACAAAATTCTGTCAATTCATGAGCTCCGAGTACAGAGAAATTCAAAACTCAAAAAAAAAACAATCTTTGAAATGTAATGTTGATAGATTCATAAAAACAACGGGCCCTCCCAAAATATATTTTATGACACAATCATAAAGCACAAAATTGCTGAAATGTGTTGAAATATATTTCTTCATCATTTCTACCTACTAATTATATGAGTTAGTTTCGCTACAATTTTTCTTCTTTTGTGATTTTTCACGATTCCATAATTGTACTACTATAAGGAAATCGGAATAAATTTAATGGCGTCCTACATTTTGTCAGTAAATATGGCGCCTTTTTCAGAAGTTACTTCAAAGTAGTTTTACTACATAATGTCTGTTTGAAGGATTGACCTCTCTACTGCAAGTAGCGGCCACTACACTTTTATTACTTTAAAATTATCATTAAGTAGAATATTTCTTGTAGGTATTTCAAACTATATACAAAGTCGCGATAACTACAATGCCACGCCTTCAAAAGCTACCTAAAAGTACTGAAACTATTAGGTTCAAAATTGTGGTAATACCTACCTAATAACTAAAAAATTACCTCAAGTCAAAAGAAGAGCTTTGTATCGATCAAATTCTCTTGTTGCGTTGGCCATCCGCTCCAGTTCTAAATACATAATTTGTTTATAAAGAAGTGAGTCTAGAATGCGGATGAGATAACGACCCAGCGTATCCGTTATTGAATGAGCATTGCCTCAATGCTGGTGGAACTTTCCCTCAGGTGTAGCCTAAAAGTGATCCAGGTTTCACATTCGTGTTGATATGACGATGACATTTTAGATCGAGAGCTGAGTTTAGCTACTTATTTTGAGGTTGCGAAATACCGTTCTTAAGAGACGTCCAAATGCTGCGCTGGCGCATTGCTCGGTGTTGAATTTCTGCGTCAATACTTGCACTTGTCAAAAGATGACTATAGATAAAATCAGTTCAGAAAAACCACATGCGTTATCGTTCCACTGCACCTAGGGAAAAGGAAATTTTTCTCAGTGATGACGTCAATGGCTTTTTCTTAGTTGCTTTTCTCTATACTGAGGTTTTCTACACAGATGTGCGATGTGCTCCATTGATATTTACAGCTGGAACTGGTACATTAAAAGCAGGCTGGTATATGAATTTTGGTCTTATCAGTATGCTTGCTTTAAAGCATTTACAGTAGCTAATTTGTGAATTTTCCTCGGTATTTGCCAAGATAGCGTTACCATCAGCATATTGAAGTTCACAAACAATTGCTGTGGAGAACTTGGTCAGCGGCTCAAAGTCTGCTAAGCTTAAATAGCCTACCATCAGTTCTATTAGATATTTCAACACCCAAAAACAGGTTCTCTCCGGCAAGACGAAGTAGACATATTTGATTCAGGTTGGTTGTGCTCTCAAGTATGATTACATTCTCAGACATCGTCATAAGTGGAATCATAGTTGAGTAAAATCGTTCAGTAAATTGAGTCTTTTCAAAATATTTTCCATTTATGAAGATATTTTCAACAAGTATGAGTAAATTGAGTCAAATGGAACATAAATCAGTTCGAAAAATGGCCATCTGATTGTATATGCAATGTTGTGACAATTTATTTTTTTGTAAGTACTCTTGCCTGTAGAATACTGCTCTATAAAGTGCTTTTTCGTTCAAAATATCATAATTGTCGATAGAGCTATTTTGTCACTATAGAGTTATTTTTTCGATAGGGCATGTTGAAACAATCAAAAAATCATTGTTTGGCAACACAAATAAACCAACATGAATGCTGATTACCCCTTCAACTATAAAAAAATGAAAAAAGAACATCTGTGTTTAATGTATTGCATATTTGGAAGTGGGGCCCAAATCTAAGACCTAAGCAGAGTAAAATTTCTTGCTTCTGATTCTGATCTTTAAACTCACGAAATTAACATTTCATTTTCGCTAACAGTTTAAATTTCACTTGAAGCCAAATTCTTTATACCTAAACTAGGTAGGTAGGCATTTCGAAATCGAATTGAAAAATAAAAACGTTAGATTGGATTTTACACAACAATCAGAAAAAACTGAAAAGACAATGTGCAACGAAACTGGGTCATTAATTTTCTTTGTTGTTTTTTTCTAGTTTGCTGATCAAAAATATGTGGAAATACAAACGAATGTGTTTCATTCGAAACCTACTATTAAAAAATTTCGTACACAAATTTAAATATAATTTGTATGCCGAACGGAATAGTTTTCTTGCATTGCTTCATTGGACCTTGCGATTCAAGTAGGTAGCCTCTATCAATATTAAAAATAGATAATATGGATTTATTTCTATTTGTAGGATACTGATAATGTAATTTTATTTAAGAAATATAAAATAAAAATTTGTACGTGAACCAATCAAGTAATTTCCCTAATTAAAAATCATCGATCTATAAAAAAACTGTTAAAAATACTTATGTAATTTTTTGGTTGACATTACTATCAACTATACATAATTAAAAAAGATATATATTATTTGAAGGTTTCTGTTTTAGAGGCCAGTTAATTCGGGACATTACTTTATTGGCTGACTGTTAACTCTACATTATTTTATTAGCCCAGGCAGAAGTA